AACCTACTGTCCTTCCATATTGAGGTCTCAAGCTTCTGCAACCTTTTAGATTAACATGGGACCATTATCCCTCCCCTGACCACTGTCATCTAGCTGGAATACAAATACAAGCATTAAATACTTCTTTAATAATTTGGCTGTATATCAAGGGTTTGTACATCTAATATTATGACTTGTGCATTTTTTTTTTTTTGGTTGCTATTGTGAATATGATTGAAAGAAATTTTGTTGTAATTGACTCATTGAGAGTTTGAGAGCATAGAAGCACAATTGTATGTGTTTATGTCTTTCAGTAGGTGTCTTGGTGTTTTCTTATTTAATAAGGAGAAACTAGGTGTGACTATTGTTCACAAAAATTCAGTTGAATAAGACACTCTCATTCATTTATAAAAGAAAGGAAAGCATCCGACTTTTGAATGTATAAGATTAATTTTTTGGGATTAAAAATAAGATTATCATGACGTCGACTATATAATGTCGTAATCTCTTGCTCACATAAATATAATCTATTTTTATTTATTTTTTGTCCTCAACTTTTGTTAATTTCTCGTGTCTTTCATCAATTCAATCAATGTGCTAAAAATGCATTATGCACCTAGTTGGAATATACATAGCTATGTCCTTTCCTATGAAGTTTCATATTGGCTAATTATGAGAAGACAAATCAACTAGTCTTCACATGTTTACCATTCTTCTTGTCCCATTGCACATCATGTGTGTACCACTTAGATTTTTGTGGGTTGATGAGATCGATGGTAATTAAATCAAGTACTCCTGCTTTATTAGAGAGGGTTTGGATTGAGATTTTAATTTGATTCTTGGAGATTTTGGCCTTTCTGTTTATTCTATATTTTTGGATAGTAGGAAACTTCCATATAATAGATTTTGAAGCATATCATAAAAGCCAAGTAATTAACTTCTTTTTTTGCAAATTTTTCCAAGGATAATGTTGAGAGTTTAAAAAGGTGTTTGCTTATTTAATATGGGAGTTTAATTTTTGGATTGAAAAGGTGTTTTCTTTTTAAATAAGAGAGTTTAAATATTTTTTTTGACATTTCTGTTTATAATTAAGTTTTTATAAAGGTAGTTTCCCAATTTTATCAACTATACCGGTGCTTTAGACTACTAAATTTGATGTTTAATAAGATGTACCCTAGCCTTTTGGCTTCAAACATGTAAATTTTAATTGAATTTAGTTAAAATGATGTAGTTTTTGCATGAGACTATTTTGTCCTTTTGTTAGAAACTCCATATGAAGCATTCATAAGTAGTGGTGGCAATTTCTCTTGACAAGACGTTTTCGCCACGGACGGATTGGTAGGTTCCTAAATTGAGTAGGGATAATTATGGTAATTAAAATGAAAACCCGCCTCATGTTTGAGGCGTGGGATTTAGTGTTTAACCCACCTAGAACCTGGATTATATATATATTGTCATGCAACAAAAAAAAAAATAAAAATAATGATAATATCATTATTGATTTTCATGATAAATCATGAATGATTTTTATGATAAGTTATCATTGATGTAATTTAAAAGTAATTTTTTAGGAGAGAAAATAGGAAAAAGAGAGAAATTACAGAATATGGCGGCGATTGATAAATATACAGGCTTTTGATTGATTAATAATTTTTAAGAATAGTAAATTCTGGTTGTTTGAGTGTCTCTTTCTCACTATATATAATGGTGTATATCTGTTTATTTTTCCAAACAAATGGAAGGGCAATATTGTGATTTTCATGCAGCTGGGACCCACATTTAAATTAAATTGTAAACATGGGATTTTGGAAGTGGATAGAGAAATGTTTGGAAATCTGCATACAAGACATGGACATGGAAAATTCAAAGTGTTGTTGTATAGATATATATACAGTACACTTGTGATAAAACAAAACACACTCGTGCGGTCTTGAAACATGAGAGAGAGAGAGAGCATGAGGAGCTGTGGTCGACAGAAGGCTCTTTTTGCTAGATGCTTCAATTTTGTTCTTATTTTTAAATTAATTCAAAAGATCACTACATGCCATTAGTATATGTTTAGATATTGCTTTTTGTCAACGAAATTTCTTCATGTTTCCAAGTTTTATAGCAAAGCCTAGCAACCTAGGGACTTTGAGCTTTGTAAAGTTCACACACACACACATATATGTGTGTGTGTGTATATATATATATATAGAGAGAGAGAGAGAGAGAGATTAACGGCAGATTTAGATATGCTATACAGTAGTAGTATTATCTTTGAACTCTTTCAGGGTATGCAGCAATTAATTGCACTTTGAAAGACTGCACAAAGAGATCTGAAAATTCTTGAACTTTGCAAAGTCGTCCCAATTTCAAACAAAATCATATATACCTTTTTAAATTCCAACATTAGCTGACTGAGAATAGAAGACTAATATGGCAAATTTAGGATTTGAAAGAAAAGAGTGTAAAATAAATATGTCAATTTCATTAGTAATGAGGATAAATTTGAGATAACTCCAAGGAATTTGATTCAAGTGGTTAAGTACAATTTTTTTTTTTTTTTTTTTTTTTTTTTTAAAAAGGGTAAAATTGAGTTTTTCACTTTTGGTATAAATAAAAAATAGATGATGGGTTGGGTTTCACCATTCAGTATTAAATCTTAACAAATAGGTCAAAATTTAAAAGCATACCAGGGTGTAAATATCGTACACTGAATCTCTAGTTACAAAAATCATTCATTTGAGTTGCTTCATTAACCATTTGGGGTTGGTACAACATTGTAAGATGAAGGTGGGGATTGGACAGGGACAATATCTCAGTCAGCACTCGACCAAGCTCACATACCCAAGCAAATGCTGGGATACATACCACACTAATTTGCTTCTTGTCCCCAAAATTTTTAATTTAATTTCAGAGAGAGAAAACACATATTCTGTGGTACTCTCTTGCTTGGGATGGGAGCTACACAACCTGCCATGGAATTATATAAACTTGCCTTCAGTTTTTAATAACTAAACCATAAAACTATTGCTTCTAATTTTTGACAAGAATGGTATCTACCTAGACATCAACTACAAAATTCAACAATCACATATGGACCCTTTTTCCATCAACAATTACATTGTTTATGCAACATCATTTACTTCTTTTTATATATCTATCTATCTATTGCATTGAGTAATTCAGGAAGTAGTTGTGAGAGGAGAGCAAAAGTGAATTTAGTGTAATTTTTTTTTTTTTTTTTTTGTAATTTTGGAAGGGGTAAAGTGAAAATTTTATAAGTATATAACTGAAAATATAAAAACTTAGTAGTGTATAACACTTAAAAAAAAAAATCAATGGGGGCATTGGGCATCCGTCCCTGGTTGCAGTAGAATGTAATGTGTTGCATTAACAAATTAAAAGCATCACAAGACGAGGCACATGATAATGAGGGAATCCGGGATTCACTAGGCTGACTTGAGAGAGAGAGAGAGAGAGAGAGAGAGAGTTATAAACTAGGCTAATGTGACTCATGTCGATCCCACTTAAATGCACAGGAGAAATTCTTAATTCTCTTTTTTTGGGCTTAGGGTAAGTCCAGTACAACTCTAATAGACTTAAAAAAAACATCTTTATCTTTGGTTTTTTTGGTAAAATCGCTAGTCTATCCTTAGGCCAACTAGGAAAGAGAGATCCAAGAGGAGTCTCTCAAGCTTCAGGGTGCTCCTTGGAAAGGGACTCTAGCTCCTTGTCTCGTACAAGTTTGTTTTTTTTCTATCTTCTTGTCTTTGACATTATTACGTTGTTGGTTGTAGTAAAATTTGATGCTCACTAATAGCAACGCCAAAAAATATATTACTAACCTATATAAAGTTTCTTTCAATTCATATCTCTAGCTGTAGCCTGTAGGAGAAAAATAGTCGGCACAATTTGCTTCCTTTACTTGAAGAATTTGATCACTTTTGAAAAAAATAACACAATTTAAGTATCATATTATCAACTGAATAATGTACCTCAATGTGAGATGCCCAAAATGGTGACAATAAAAAAAAAAAAAAAATCCCAAGAAAAAACAGCTCCTTAAATCAATTTAAAACAGAACAAAAAATGTACAAACACAAGTAATAAGTTGATAGTTTTAATGGAAATTTTTGCTGCAATTGTCGGAGGGCAATGGTAACAACCGATGGTAGCAGTTTGCGGCTGTGTTTTCATACAAAGAGCTGTTCTGTTTTGACTAACAAATCAAGAAAATAAATCTATTTTTCTAGCAAAATTTTAACTTTGCTATTTCCAACCAGGTTGTCAGACTTTTGTTTGTAAATTTTGCTATTTAAGGAAAATCATTGTTTTATTTAAATTTTGATTTAGTGCATTCTCTATTAAAAAGCAAAGAAACTGAAAAGCAAGAAAAATGATTTTTTTTTTTTTTTTTGGTCCATAATAAAAAAAAAAAAGGCAAATCCGTTTGAAATGTGGTAGAAGAACATCTAAGTTATTACGTAGTATTATCTTTTAGAATGATAGTAAAATTATGATTTTGAAATGTGTAAAATTTATATTAAAGATTCACTTACCCAATATATATATATATATATATATATATATATATATTAAAGATCAAGCAAAAATTGAAGCAAAACAAAAATAACGAATATATGTAAGTTTTAAATTAGTGATTCATGATTTATAGAAAATAAACAAATATATGTATATATATATATTAATATAACTATATTATATTATTATATTTCAGTGTATCCATATTTATATTTAATTTTTAAAAAAAAATTGTGGTATGCCCTATCAATATTTTGTGTTTATGTGCATACTTCCTAGTCCATGAACCAACTATATAATTAATAACCGTATTTTCCTCTATTTTAACCGTATTTTCCTCTATTTTAATTATATTTTCATAAGTAAACATTTTATTTTGTCGGCAATCAAATTAGATTCTTGTTCAGTAGTGCTATTATCCACAGGGGGATGACTACTTTAACTTTGCTTGCGCTTGCCTTTTCTTGCTTTAATTTGTTGAGCCAAATCAGTCTCCACACAAGTCTTCAGTTCCACCCTTCAGTCATCTTGTACTCTCTCTCTCTCTCTCTAAAAGGGTCTCTTTCTCTCTCTATAAAAAGCAAACCCCTACACAGCCAACCATTCTCCCCTCCCACCTTTTTCACAATGACTGACCCTTATTCATCAAGCTTCTACACACAATGGTTCAGATTCAACCATTTTTCTTCTTCAAACCCAAACCCCCCTCCTCCTCCTCCTCATCATCATCCCTTTACCTCTCACAACCTCTACTTCAATCACAACAACAACAACAACAACAACAACAACAGTACCACCTTTCACTACCAAACTCCACCTCCTTCACCTCCTCTCAGAGAAGCCCTACCCCTCCTCAGTTTAAGCCCAACAAGGCATGATCATCATCAAGATCAAGATCAACCCTCCTCTTACAGTGCCATGGATGTGGACATGATGATGATGATGAAGAACAAAGCCAAAGAAGATGAAAACCATCGAAGCCTCATCTTCTCCAACAGTACTAGTACTAACAATATGGGTGATGCTGATGATGATGATGATGAAACTGTTACTGTAGCTCTACATATAGGGTTACCAAACCCTAGTGCTGCTGATCTGGCCTCTATCCTCTCTTCTTCTAATTCTAGTCATGAGATCACTGCTACTGAGTCTGATAAAGATGGAGATGCTGCTTCTGATATTAATATTTCTGGGTACCCTTTAAACAGACTCAACAAGGGTCAGTATTGGATTCCTACCCCTTCTCAGATTCTCATTGGTCCTACTCAGTTTTCATGTCCTGTTTGCTTCAAGACCTTCAACAGATATAACAACATGCAGGTAATTTAATTATGTTTCATCACATATGTGAAACCCAATAAAATCCCCCCAAAAGCTTTTCTTTGCCATTTTTAACTCCTTTTCTACTTTCCTTTTTCTTTTGAAAAAAAAAACTTCTTAGTTTCTTCTTCTCCAACCTTTCAAGCTCTATCATATATCTAGCCTTTCATTGTTCTCTTAATCAACCTTAATTTTTTATTTTTTTTAAAGAGGAAAGTGAAATGATCAATCATATGGGTATATATATATATTTCACAATTTTTGTTTTATATTTATATATCTTGCATGGTTTGTGAGTTTAGGGATTTTGGATATGTCAATCTGATTGAACTGAAACTGAGATAGATCAGTATAGATCAGTACGTACTGTCATTTATGTGATTTAACAACACAAGCAATGTTCCTTGTGCTTTTAGTACACTTTGAAGTCTGTGCTCTATACATTTGCAGGAATATATATATATATATATATAGCTAAACATTTTGAACTCAAATGATAAATATTCATCTGCAACAGACAAGTTTTACAGACATGAAAACCCCATCCATAAGATCATTTCACCCTACCCTTCTTCTCTCCAGAAATAAGACTTCTCTATAAGTCTTCGTTTAAGAATTTATTTAAGTACTTTTAATTCTTTTAATTCTTTCTTCTCATATATATACAAGCTTACCTTTAACTTAAAAAAAAAAAAAAAAAAAAATACAAAACGTCAAGTAGAATTGGAGCAAAGAAATTAAAACCATTTGTTCAAATTCATACCATATCTGAAACAGATCTCCATTTCCTTTGGAACTTATCCAAATAAACTGTTATCATAATATATATATATATAGAGAGAGAGAGAGAGAAACTGCCTAGATCCAATTTAACCATGCACCTAGGTCCTAGGATTTGGCCCCTTTTAATTTTATTTTATTATTGTGTTCCTATACAAGATCCCTTAATTGCATGCAGGATATTGTAGACTAATGTTTGTACTAGCTCCACCCTTCTCTCATAGTATTAATATCAAATCTTCTCAAATAAAATTGAACTTAATTTCCTTAAGAGGCCTTCCAACTATTCATTTTGGTTAATTTCTATGATTCTCTCTAGTCTGCTTATCACTTCACTATAATTACAATGTAAAATTATTGATAGCTTTAATTTACTGAATAATTCATTTGTTTTTTCATATGATTGAAAAAAATTATATATATAGATGCATATGTGGGGGCATGGATCTCAGTATAGAAAAGGGCCAGAATCACTAAGGGGGACTCAACCCACAGGCATGCTGAGGCTTCCCTGCTATTGTTGTGCACCAGGGTGCAGGAACAACATCGATCACCCGAGATCGAAACCGCTCAAAGATTTCAGAACCCTTCAGACCCATTACAAAAGAAAGCATGGAATTAAGCCCTTCATGTGCAGAAAGTGCGGTAAGGCCTTTGCTGTGAGAGGAGATTGGAGAACCCATGAGAAGAACTGTGGGAAGCTGTGGTACTGCATTTGTGGTTCTGATTTCAAGCACAAGAGGTCTCTCAAGGACCATATCAAGGCATTTGGGCATGGCCATGCTGCTTATGGCATCGATGGATTCGAAGAAGAAGATGAACCTGCATCAGAGATTGAGGTAGATGATGAGTCAATGCAGTGAGATCTAGCTAGCTACAAGAATTAGTAGTTAATTGGTTCAAATTTAGTGAACTATCTTACTAGCTACCTACTTCATGGTGCTAATATTGAACTTGCATGGTTATGGCTTTCTGAGAAGGAACAGTTTTTAAGTTGTAAACTACTTGGAGAGCCACTTTTTCTTTCTTTATTTTATCAGTCTTGCCATAGAATGTAGTAGGATCCAAATTACTCGTCTTAAATTTTAGTTTTTGTAAATCCATTTTGTTTTCAGCTCACTTAAAAACAACTTCCCGCACTTCATTTTATACATTTTGTTTCTTGGTTTTTTTTTTTTTAGTGTGTTAATAAGTGCTTTAAGCTTTATGTGCGCGCGCGCGCAGTGATGAAAAAATTAAAATGGTATCTCCTTGAGAGTTTATATGTAGGTGAAGGTAGACCTTGGAAAAATGGTAAAGTTGCTTCATCGTGAGCTCTTTTATGTGAAAGTAAAGTTATGTACTTACATGTTACCTTCCCCAAACTCTAGAAGTATTTTTGGAGTTAATATGTGTGTTATTTTGGTGTGTGCATCTTTACCCTCTAGGAATTGGGAACACAACAATATAAGAAATGGAAAACATGCCACATGAAAGTAGGGAAAGTGGTTTGGTATCTGCATGGAACATAAAAAGAGAGGGAATAATATATATGAGAAAATTATTTTTATTTCTATAAACTATTTTTAGATAAGTGAACCAATTGGGATCTAAAATTTCTAAATTAAAAGATCTTACAACAAGCACAATCTCTTCCACCTTAGGAGATGATACTAATGGTCAATACAAGAAGAGAAAATCTTCTCTGGTGATCAATCCGTAATGCATTTGGAATGATTGATATCAATTTAGCAATGGAATCTACCTGTTGAGTTAATTCCGAAAAAAAAGAAGGTTTAATCCAAGTGAATTTTATTTTTTAAAACCTTTTCCTAATTCATTATATCTTCCAAAATTTATTCACCAATCCAAAATTTAAGAATGAGAAGTAAACAGGTAGTGAAAAGATGTAATCTTAAGCTGATTGAAAAATTAAACCAGATAGGTACAATATAGGTACATAGTAAGAAACTAATATTTAGGGGAAAAAAAAAAGGTAACTAATATTTGGTTGCAGATGTAGTTGAGATAGGCTTTACATCCTGCAAATACATCAGCTTTTTGTGGGGTGCATTTGATGCCCTTTCGCTTTGGTTAGTGGAGAGAGATGTGTCTGTTTGATGGACGGAACATATACCGTTTGAGATTCACTATTGGAAAATTCAAAGCAAATGATTAGCTTTAAGACACAGAGATATGTAGATGGCGAGGTACACATATATACACACATATGTATATATACTATAGTATAATATGGGAGTACTAATGGGATTAAAAAGATAATTGGTACCACCAATATTTTATAGTACTAGTGTACTACTGATGATATAGGAGAAAATGTTTGTGAGGTTAGAAAGGAGAGGATGGCAATGAATGGATCTTGTTGGCAGCTTTGTGTGCATGTGTGTGTGTATCTATATATATATAGAGAGAGAGAGAGAGAGAGAGAGAGAGCATGATGGGTTAAGGTGAGAGAGACTGAAAGTGGTGCAGTGGTGCAGGAGAGTGGAGCCCAATATCTGTTGGTAGGGGTAATTTGCAACACATACTGATGGCTCGAACAGTAGATAAACACATCATCTTCTGATGGATAAACTGTAGATTGACATGATGTGTCAATAACTTTTGACTGCTCATTCTTACTTTCTCTCTCTATATATACATATACATACATGTTTGAATACGTACAACCAGCTGCTGCGACTGAGAAATGAGAATACGATGAATGTAAAGATACAAAGTTGTATGATTTTATGCGTAGGGATTTGGCTTGTCAACACAGATCATGTGCAGGTTTATTAACCTCAACTCATGGGTTTGTCCAGTTTTATTTCACTGTGGATTCACTCTCTTTGCCTTGTTTACTGTTGCAATAAAACACTTTGATCAACTACTAGTTTCTCCAGTTAAAGAGGGAACAAATATTAAAGCATTTATTGTCAGTCAACATCTTTCATTCTGTTGGGTGCACCATTCTCTACCAAAATTCAAAACATACACACACACAACTCTCTCTCTCTCTCTCTCTCTCTTCTCTCACACACACACACACTAGTATAATCTACAAAAATACGTTTAGTTTTTATATTCCCTGTCAAAAGAGCACCAATAGACGTTATTGCAAGTGACTGTTGCATTACTCACCGAGATAAATTTTTCTTTTTTAAAAAATTGAACGATTTTCATTTTAGAAATCGACCCATTTAAGCTCAAGTTTTTTTACTTTTAACAAGAGAATTGATTATTCAGAAAATTGTAAGAGAAGGAACGGCCTTGAACAATAATGATATATAATAGAGTATTATTATATTTTAAAAAATTTTACAAAAAAAAAAATAGAGATATTTTTTTAAAATTTACAAAATGTATAAGTAATTTTACAAAAAAAAAAAAAAAAAAAACCCTAGTGGGACCGTCTGCCCCAAGGACCACTAGCCCTTAAATGAACAAGACTTAAATCAGCTAGCCAAAAAACTTTCTGAAAAATTGACCTATATAACTAACTATTTTGACCTTTTATAATGGTTGGTGCACAGATCGTGAAGGCATACATTAATGCATCATAAATAACATGTAGTACCCCCTCTTTTTCATAACAGATGTTTGGGGTATGTAATTATTACATTGTCCTCTTTAAAAATTACAAAATTGATTTATCAAGTTTAAATATATATATAATTAAGTTTAAAATTTTAAAAATATTTTATAAAAAGATATGAAATATGTTGTTTAAATTTGATAAGTGAACAAATATTTTGGAACAACTCAAAAAAAAAAAAAAAATGAATAATTATTAAGGGACGGAGGGAGTAATATTTAAGTTCAACTTATACTTTCAGCGAGACTCCGGCTTGTACAACTCTGTTACTCTCTCGTACTACCATTTAGTAGCAGTGTAGTCCTAAAACATAAGGCCATGGGTTATGGATGAATATAAACTGAAGTGCATATACCTGCATATATATATATAATATGCATGAATTGGACTGCATGGGCAGAGTTAATTACAAGAGTATTGCTCATGTGCTGATTAATATATATAGTATTCATTGTTGTTTCCTCTTCTCTGTCCAAGAGTTGATTGAGCAAGCACACCCTTCTTTTGCTTAAAATCCCAAGATCAATCTTTCTCTCTTCTCTTTCCCCATGCTCTCTATTTAAAAATACTATATATATATATATATATATATATATATATTAGTTTTATAGTTGTTGTTATGCTAACTATTGTCACGGATTTGTGAAGGAGACCAAACAAATATCCTCGCACACATATAAGAATATATATTAATTATCTCCATTGTATTCATATTCCGATACATTGGGGGCAGCTTTGTCTCCTTGGCTCGAATCACCAACTTTCCTTTACATCCATCTTTTATATATATATATATATATATATATATAAAGCCATTCACTTGTTCATCCCAACATTTTATATAGAAAAGACATTCTAATATCTATTGCATGGCATGGCATGGCATACACACACATTATGTTACCTCTGATGTTCAGGACCATCGTCCTGGATCGTAATGTCTGGATTGGACTCAACCATCAAGCACGTAACCATCTACAGTAATAAATTCTCGCGCCATTTGGTAAAATGTTATGAAAAAATATATATATATAAGTTATATATATATATATGAATATATTCAATGGATGAGTTTCATTCTGCAAAGAATATGTATTTTCATTTATGAGAAACAAATATACCCTGGAATGAAATGAAAACACTATTGGATTGGACAAATCATCTATATTCCCATATATAATGGATGGGATATATTAAATATACTTACTAGGTGAAAGACATTTGATTTTTTAAAATAAAGTGGACAATTCATCCAGATTCCCAATTACAAGTGATGGGCATCATTTTAATGAGCATGGGCCATTTCAATTGATCTAAGTGCATAGTTATTGCCTAGTCCCTCCTCCTCGTTGCTTTTTGAGATTCTCTCATGTTTTGAGAAAAAAACCAAAACGAAAATAATTTTATCAATCATTAATGGGTATTAGGAAAAGAAAATAGCCAAAACTAACATGAATTTAATTAAGAAAATGAGAAATATAATTTAATTTATAATTTCTGATCTTAAATAAAACATATATAATGGCAAAAAAAGGGAATTGATTGATCCAAAATAGCTGAAGTAGAACTTTATTGAGTTGGTGAAGTTACGAGGCAACTTTGTTGTATAAGAGGTCCCAATGGAAAGGAAAGGAGAGAGAGGACTAGTGTTGACTCATAATTATATATACCTTTGAAAAGAAATGCTAAAAAAACAGAAGAGGAAACAGAAATTCTTCTTTTGGACCATACTATACCTAGGGCTAGGGATCTCTTTTACCCATGATGATCATTATCAGTGCCATGATGCTTTCTTTTATGATCCATCTTCTCTATTCTTCCTTTGATGTTTCAAGATTCTCCAACTTGTAGATATTGGGTATCATTATGTTAAAGGAATACTCCTATAAAGAATAAAACTTCATATGGAAGAAACACATCATACCATACTCTTATGTGTGTGTGTGTGTGTGAGAGAGAGAGAGAGAGAGAGAGAGATCATATCTAGTCTTTTCTCTCTGCAATGGGTCAGGAGAAAAAGTTGCGTTTTGACCTTCATGCCTATATCAAATCAAAAGGGTCTATTATATATCTATTCTTAAACAACCTTACACTGTGTATCCCAAACAAGCTCTACTTACTCAAATTGCACCACCATTTCCTTATCTAGTATGCACATAACCTATTGAGAACATATATCACAATTTACTTTTATTTTTTCATTTTTTGATCTTCACATCCCTACCTGAACATATATATATATATATATATATATAGATATGTCATGAAAAAACATCATTGAACTTTTTAACAGTCACTAACTTCATCATTTAATTAAGCTATTAGATTGAATATGAAATTGTTCATACCGGATAAAAATATAGTAATATACAAATCACCAAAATGCAGAGGCTTTATTATTACCACGTATTATTATGTTCCAAAATAAGGAAGTGACAGGACGAATGACCTAGAGCACTAGTTCAAGGAACAATGGTCGGTCGTTGTGCTCACATTCGGTTCTCTAAAATTAGGACATTGCTTTGATTGAGTGATGTGGGTTACTTTCATTGGTGGTAATATAGAGTTTTACTGCCCAATCAAATGCTTTGGTGGGCCATCACGAAATGTCCCTTAATTTTAAAGACCGGTAGGTCTCAAGATCATTGCATCTTTGTAAAAAGACAAAATGGGAAAATATTTTAGGCAACTTTTTCTTTCACAACCACCACTTTCATCACCTTCCTAGAAGGATCATTTCCCTTGTATTATTATATTATTAGATTAATAGGTAGAATCAAAGTCTCATCAAGAAAAGTGAAATACAAAATTATAATATCTCATAATCGACAAGCAAAATAGACCCATTATTTGGTTTAATGATAAAAAAAAGTTCATGCTTTTTTAACCAAAATAAATAAATGTTCACACTGACAAACATGAATACAGATAATTCAATTTGAAACAAAATAAAATAAAAAAGGAAATGGACCATAAAGCTAAGATGAACAAAACGAAATATTTCTAAACTAAATATTTCATATAAATTTTCTAATATTACGAAACTTAAACATAACTTACAATTTCTAATTTCTAGGAAATCAATTTCTTGACAGACTTAACTTAAGAAATCTCTCTTAATTCTTTCCCCCATGCGCTCCCTATTCCCTCAGAAATTGGGTTAAGTCCACCTGCTGGCCTCCAGACATATAGAGACCATAGCCTCAAACCGACATAGACTAACCCTACATCAGCTGACCATGTCCAAATGATACTATACACATATGCCTATAGCTCCATACACGTACACACACACACACACGCACACAAGCGCAAAATTAGGATCAAATATAAAGTGGAAGCTGGGGGTAGGCAGATTCACCAGAGACAAGGGGAAGTGGTTTGCTGAGAACCCAGTCATCCACTACTTTGAACAACCAAAATGATCTCAATGGATAAAGTTACAGAGTTGGACCCTCTTAAATGGGATCTTTTGGCAGACAACTCCCTATACTTTTACTCAAAACATCAATTATGTGTTGTGTATGCCTACAAGGTCCTACGCGTAGTATTCATGCATTTGTAACAATTTCATTTTTCAGGGCATTGGCAATTAATACACACAAATTTATCAAACTCCTCGATCTTTTAATAAACTGACTGTGTGTGTGTGTGTGTGTGTGTGTGTGTGTGTGTGTGTGTGATACCATTCCTTTTAGAAGTGGGTATAACCAAATGCCATAACTTTCTTCTTTTGACCATTGCCCATACCTATCAATCAAGTGGTGTTCTCAATTCATGTTTTTCCTCACTCCCTCCATTTTCTGTTGGGGTAGTTTCAGATGGCTTTTTAATGCCAAAATTCACTCGCCCAATCCTTGATTTGGTTGGATGAACTAATAAGTAGTTCCTCTTCTCAAATAAGCCTGAAAATAAAGAGTTGGTTTGTTTCTAGTCACTGGTGAGGGCACCCTCATAATTGATAAAACACAACACTCCCCGATAACTGGAAAGACGATATAGTCCTTAATAGACATACCAAAATACATGGTTCAACAAGGGAAGCATTTTGTCTTTTTATAAAGGGAGTCATATTTTGTTTAAGAAAATAAAATTTGCAGGGCACCTGCTTTTTCAATTCTTCCTCCTTCAGTGGATGAAACACTTTTGCTCTCTTTTGCTCCAAGTGGAGGTGTCTTTATCTCTCTCTTCCATTTAACTTTGAGACATGAAATAGAAAACTTACCTTTTTCTTAATGAAGAAGAGATGACTAAACAGACAACTTTAATTCCAATGAATCTCTTTCACATATACACATATGTTTCCTACATGACATGTTGGAAATTTAATTTCCGACCATTCAACTGACATTCTCAAAGGAAATTACAGTAGAAATAAATGAGACCAGGAGGACCACCTTTCAATAACAACCTAACAGGGTCCCTCAGTGAGATATGCACATTAATGACATTTTCTATCCAAAGAAGCAGAAAATGGTTAATTTCTTGCCTCGTATGGGCAGCCATTGGCGCAATCGAGTATGTTTTCCGTGTAGTTTCTTTCCAATATTGTCTTCTTCTTGAAATCAGTTATGCTGACATGCTTCTGCATAGCACATGAAATGCAGGGAACACATTAAACTGAGAGAGAAAGAGTCCAATGAAAGAATGATATACTGTAAAACACACTTTTCAACACACTTTTCAACATTGTCAACACATTTTCCATGATGGATTCTTTTAAATTAAAAAAGAAGAAGAAGAAGAACAAACTTCAAAACAAATGTGTTTTCCCAATATTAAAAGGAAATTTCTGAATTTCAGCTCAATGCCCTTAATTCCATTTCAGCATTTCTGGTAATATAATTCAACAGTCTTTAGCCTTTTAAGACATCTTGATACTCTTTAGGTTTTTCCACTGGTTTTCAAAGCTTTCAATAATTTCTTTATCAGAAAGCCTCAAGCAATCTTGCTTATCTATATATCTAAAGATACGAAGAATTCATTTCTTCATGTATATGTATGTATACAAGAGACACCAGCCCGTCAAAACTTTTTGTATAAATAATTCAAAGATCTGGTTACCAAATCTTTGCCCACCTATGCTCGTATACACCTTTTTGATCCAAAAAGTAGCTCACTAAGAGAAATCCAGTAATTCATTTATGCCAGTGTAATGGATTGGCTGAGTTGACCAAATAAGACCTTTAACAATTATAACATCCACGAGAGTCTGAGGATCTTTCATGTCTATATATGGTGACTGCAATTATAAATTGACTACTGCTACCAAGGTGTTTGGATAATTTTTCTTCTGCAGGTGATAGTCTTCTTGCCTTTTGGTTGGTAACAACTAGTTTAAAATTTATGTTTTTTCTCCAAACACTTGGCCACTATATCATACATTAGATCCCAAATCTTAATTCCACAACGGCCTATTTTTTTCTGTCCCTGAATAAGATAAGTTTGTTGATGAAAAAACTATATGGTCTTTCTTATCATTCTTTTTATAGAAAGCAATCCTGAAAAGGAAAAAATCATTTTTATCAAGGGAAAGAGTAAAAAAAAAAAAGAAAAGGCAACAGCACAAGTTTATAATAAAAAATGTGTTTATACTGTAATGGTTGAAACTGTGTGTTGAAAATTTCTTGACTTTTTAAAGGAAAAAACATTTTCACTAGTTCTTTCCTAGAATGAATAATTGCAGTCCAGCTATGTAACGCTGATAATGCCTAGCCTAGCTGCAATCAACCACTATTAAATTCTTATGTAAATGTTAGGATTCTTTCTCTCCCTCACATTTTTATTACTTTGATGGAGACAAAAGGTTGTGTATGCTTGGGTACATCTTGATGACAATTAACATGTTAGTGAGCCCAGCTCATGATTCTATTGCCCATGGGCAGCCCAATATTGGTTGTGAAACAAAATAGGGGGCAATGGAACAGTTCTTTCCTTCTTCTCTCTTGCTTCTATAAAATCAAAATATGCACATATTTTTGTATCACCTCATTGAGTTTAATAGATTAGCAAACACCAACAGTAGGTGTTGCATCCTAACAAAATCAAGAGTGCCATATGCTGTGTTTATAATAAAAAAATAAAATAAAATAATTTTAAAAATGGAAATAACTTCTTGCTTCTCGGTAAGGGGAAAACAAACCAAAACAGAGAAAGCAACTACAGACCACACAGAACTCACAACTTTCCAATCCCTATCAAGATGAGTATACTATTTTTGGCATTTCTTAATCAATTATGTTGAAGTATGTAAAGAATTTAACGCAAATAACATACAGAAATGACAAATATATATATATATATATATATATATATATATTCTCTTCTGCATTGTTTTCAAGCCAATAAAAGTGGACTCTCCCTTAGTGCTCAAGCTAGATCAGAGTGTATTCACAAATGCCAGGCATGCCGATCAAGTATCAACATCTCGGAGAAGCATTGCACATATCATATTTGAATTAGGTAAGATTACTCAATTCAGTCATCTAAAGTCAATCTTTAGTTTAGGCAAAAATACTAAAAGTTATCCTGATATAGGTAATTTTTACATCGTTTTACCATCGTTACGAATATGTTCTAGACTTCAAAAGAATCTGTATGGTTTAGCCATAGAAGGCTCCTGTTTCTTTTAATTCAATACAAATGGTGTTTTAGTGATTTTTTTAGTGGTTTTATTGAATTTTCTAAGAATATTTACTACAAGTAGGACCTATATATGAATATTAAGTCATTGCCATTATAAAAAAAGGCTTAGTAATTATGTTTTTTTACTAAATTAATGAAATAATATATTAAAACTTTAAATAAAAAAATTCCTACCATATATAACATGTGAAAATTTAAAACATAATAAAAATATATATATATATGATTTTGTCTGCATATAAAATAAATCTGTTTATATTGATTTTATAATGCCTAACTAGAAGGTTTTGTATTCAACTATTCACTAAATAAAAAACTAGCAGTTAATATCACAAGGGAAAATGTGGAAGTCTGGCAATGTGCTTGCTCTTTCCTTGAATAATTATGGGTTCGATCCTCACCCCTGGCCATTTTCAATAATAAAAAGAATCAGCAAACAACTTACAAGTGTTGTAATTAGCTGGTTCGGCAAACTATGATCCATACCATGGACAATGTTGATAATTGATATACATTTTGAATCCGTAATATGAAACAATGTTGATATACGTTTTGAATCATTTTCAGTCTTCAATCAGCACATACACATGAAGCATATCAATAAGGTAACTTTATTTAGAATTCTCTTAGTTTCAATTTCTTTCTTTTTTCTTTTTCTTTTTTTTTATTTTTTATTTTTTTATTTTTTTAGTATCACTCTAGATCCTTGTGTTTCATGCTATGTTATTCTTTAAAGCTCTTTCTCTTATTTTGTATTACTACTTGTATATTCATCACTCCACCGCCAAGTTTCTTTCTTAATAAATTTCTTTCCTCTGGTTTCACCTATAGTTTTCCTAACAACATTTCTAATGCAATCTGCTACTTCTAGCCATAAACTTCTAAGATTTTATCTCATCATTACCTTTCAATTCTTTTCATTTTATATATGCTTATCTTATTCTTTATAACGGAAATCCTTTAATTAGAATATCCAATATAAGTGGTTAATGTTGGTTTGTGTATCATATATTTATGTATGTGTATGTATACAAATAAGATTTTAGCAGTGCCTGTTCTCTTCTTTCATGCTGCCGTGTGTGGGATGTAAATTAACAAACATATACACACCATCAACTTACATGTTAATATATATATGCATGTACTCAAACCTAACAACTACCTGTATGTAATTGTGTATCCATGTGTGTGTGTATAACAGAGTTAGTCTCATCATACCAATTCAAGTTTTATGATTCCATTTTATTCCTGGTTTATACTATTTTTTTCTAAGTAATTTAAAATTTATCATTTATTATCTTTAGTTGTTAACAAAGGACAATTAAAATTTGAAGGTCATTATACACACACACACACACACACACATATATGAGTCCTGATCTCTTGCTCCCCATGGACACACACACACACATATATGAGTCCAGATCTCTTGCTCCCCATAGAGCAAGAAAATTAATCCACACTTTTTACCATTACCACCTACTATGGCCTTTACTTTTAACACATAACCGCTGTCACCCTATTTTTAGTTTCTATATTTAATTTTACCATTACCACCTACTGTGACAACAAAAGGTAATTATCATAAAAATATTGGGTTCACCATTAATATGCAAATGGCATTATAGCAACCAATATCCCAATCTTAGCACATTAAAAAGGGAAAATTATGATGTGGAGTACAATATTTGTAGGAGGTGAATGTATAATTTTGGGGGAAACGAACATGAAACAAACCTAAAATTTTTTTCACAACAATGATTACCCATAAAAAAAATATAGAAGCTACTCCTGATTACATAGCATAGATTTCGCATCAATTAATGTATGGATATAGTAATTTGGAATCGGTAGTTAACCCTAACTACAGAATCTAAATTTCATTCAACCAAATCGTTTGATTCAAGACAAATGGGGAAAAGGGTCACCACTTTAATTCATGTTCAACCTTTACAAATAAAATGGAAAATGAACAAGAGTGTTGAAAACAAAATGGCACTGCTCAAACTGTTCCGAAGTGAAATATAGAATTTAGGGTTGCGAGAAGGTGCCGTTGAAGTGATAAAAATTCAAATAAATAGATTGAAAGCAATAGAGATAATTAGATAAGTTAAAACCTGTGAACAAGTAGAGTCCACTGTTGGGTCCTTCTTTCTTCATCTCCTATTTTCCTCACTTCCAAGTTTACGCTGTGTTTGGAACGGACAATTTCACCGGAACTGTTTTTGAGAAGGGAATTGAGATGTTTGGAACGGATGGAATTTGAGGGTGTGATAACTTTAATAAGGAAATAAATGTTTTTTTTTGCGCTTTATCTAAAAATTTATTATTGTTGTTTTGAATTCCAACATGTTTTTTTTTTCTTTTATGTAAAGTATTATATATATATATATATTGCAAATTGTTTTAAATGTATACTATATATATATATATATACATATATAATGAAAAAATATTTTTAAATTAATTTTTTATTATATATTTAATAAAAAATGATAACTATATGAAATATTAATTAGGAATTTTTTTAAAATTATAAAAAAAAAAAAAAAAAATGAGTTTTTCATTTTCCCGTCAAATAAAATTTATTTTAGACAAACAGTGCCTCAATAATATATTTTTTATTTAATATATTTTATTTTATTTTTTATTTTAAAAATAGAGCTCAAAATAACTTTTTTTTAAACTTTTTTTTTTTTTTTTATAAAAAAATCTGCCAAAGACACTGTTTGGCGCAATGTTCCAGCACCGGCAAAAAACAAGACAAAAGAGTGGCAGCCAAACGGCGCCGTTTTGTAACAAAAAAAAAAAACAAAAAAAAAAAAATTTACCGCGATCGCGGGCCGGCTCGCTGAATACCGCAAGCCGGCCCACGCGTCTAAATGGGCCCTACCAATTTTGAAGAGGCGATGCACGACCCAAAGCCCCCCCCCCCCCCCCCCCCCCTCTCTCGCGAAAATTGGGTTCGCTAGTGGGCTGCGGATGCTCTAAGGTTTTTTGGAAAAGAAAATTTTGAAAATTGCCAAACCATAAGGAACTTTTCAGATTCTCGACTGAGATACTCCGAGACGCAAGAGATTTTACAACCACAAAGCAAAAGATTCCAATGGCCCCGCCAGAATCACAGAAATAACGGTCACCACTCACAACTCTCTCTATTTTTCTACAACATCAAATTTTCTTAAGAAAATTCAGTCCATTCCTTCTCCCTAAAATGGAAGCTTTGTGCCCTAATCTTGATCTTAAACCAACCCCCATCTCACCAATTTCAAGAAAACCCTCAAAACCCACTTCAGTTCTGTTCCATTCATGTCGATTATGGGGCTCAAATAGTAAAAAATTTAGAGCATCAATACCTCAAGCTTCATATAAAACAAGATCTGAACCACAATTTAATGGTGAAGATATAAGAACAGATAACCAAAAATTGCTTAGATCAATTGGAAGAGGAGTTTTTGGTTTTGCTGCAGCAGCAATGGCTGCAGTTTCAATTTGCTCCGACTCCCCGGCTCTTGCAGAGTCTTTAACAGTTGCATTTCCTGTTTCTCGTGCTCGCGAGGTGATTGATTGTGTTTGTTTAATTATTATGACTCATTTTTGTTATGATGTTGTTTGTTTGTGAAATTGATTGATAAATTCAATTGTTTATTCATTTGGGTCACTATTGGAATGGCAATTGCTCATTTGAGAGAGTTCCATTGTTAGGTGAATACAGTTCAGAGAACTCTTGTGGAGGCTTGGGGTTTGATAAGAGAAACATTCATTGATCCCACTTTTAATCATCAAGGTAACAACCCCACAGAAGTTATAACTAAAATTTTCAATTCCTTGTGTTTGGTTACCAAGAAAACTTTTGGTTAGCAAGAAAACTAGTAAAAAGAACAGAAGAAGAAGAAAACAATATTAAAATATTTTTTTTTTGCTATTGTTTAGTTTTTAAGAAATAAAAAATGAATAAGACTTAATTCAGTTAATTCTATCAGTTTTTTCTATTTTCCTTGCCAACAGTTCCTCAACAAATGGAGGGAGTGATAAATTAGACTGATAAGAAACTTGTTTTGCAGACTGGGATATGAAGCTGCAACAAACAATGGTGGAAATCTTTCCCCTGAGATCGGCAGATGCAGCATATAACAAGATCGGTGGAATGCTTTCTACTCTTGGAGATCCATTTACTCGGATTATCAGTCCAAAGGTCCTATATTTAGCTTCCGATTTTCGTTAACCTTTTAATTTTCATTTTCTCATGTTATATCAAGGATATTTTATTTTCTACTTTTGCATGTTGGTTATACTTATATAAGCAAAAATAAAGCCAAAATTAGGTATATATCCACTCTTCCCCTTCTAGCATACCACTTAGGCAAGACCATCCTTGGCTAATGGCCTTTCTTTAATGTTATATTGATAAAAATTGGCAATTGCTTGCTTTTGGATATTTGGATCTTTTCTCTATACTTGGTCTTCTTGGAAATGCCAAGTAAGAAAGCATTGAATTGATTGTGTTTTCGACCTCGAATAATCCTATATGAACGCCTAGAAGTTGTCTAGGGCACAAACACTCAAAAATGGGTGAAACATAATATAGTCATAAATGTCCCCCTGTATTGTATTTCCTATTGTCATCTTTGAAGTCTTTGTTGTGTTGATTCTTTATATATAAATTGCCTCTTGATGTTTTACCAAATGATTCAGTCTCGGGAGTTTTCTTTCCCCTCCAGTTTGCCCATCTACATTAGAAGTGATTCATGATGATCCTGAAATGGTTTACATGCAGGAATACCAAAGCTTTAGGATTGGAAGTGATGGAAATCTGCAAGGAGTTGGTCTCTTTATAAATGTTGAACCAAAAACTGGGCATTTGGTGAGTGATATATCAGAATTCAGCAATGATTTCCATTAGGAAGACAATGAACATGGATAGTAGATTCTTGCTCTATGACTTTGGGATGAAGAGTTCCCTTTTTCCCTAAAGAAGTTTTCATTTTTGACTATAAGTGAGGATCGTTTGAGTTTCAGCTCTATCCATGCTATTAGCATCTAAAGGATATCTGCAGCTGATTTTTTTTTTTTTTTTGCACGAGCTCTTTATACTTGTAGTACAATTAGGAATCATCATATTTTCTTTCTTCTTATGACTAACAAGGCAATCCATGACATGCTATTACATGTATTTCTAGATGGTTTATTAGCAGATTCAATCACCATACATTCATGATGTAGAGTAAATTATTATGTTCTTATTGCAGGTTGTTTTGTCTTGTGTGGAGGGCAGCCCAGCTGCTCGTTCTGGTATACATGAAGGAGATGAGTTGGTTGAGATTAATGGTATGTTAGAAAGAACATTTTGTCCTTACTAATTCTTGAGGTTGAAATGAAACTCATTTACCTCTTAACATGTGGTCCATCACTTCTATGACCTTGCATACCAGAATCTTTTTGTGCATTTACTTAAAAGTTGTGTGAGAATTTTGTAAGCTTCAATAATAAAAAGTTTTTATTGGCTTAGAGTACCAACATTAAGCATAAAACATATTGACACATGAAGCAATAGGGAATCATAATCTCTTTTAATTGATTACCAAAGACTGGCCACTCCATTTTTTTATTCAATCCAAATTACAGAGTTTCTTAAAATTAAGAACTTAATAAAAGCTAATATTGATGTTCATAACGGCAAGTAGGAACGCTGAAATACCACCTAGTAGATGTGGACTTAGTTTGGCCTAGGCATTTTCCATGTTAGTTTGACAAAAGAACATATATGACTGTTGTTCAGATTTTTCATGGAATTTGACATTTTAATCTGATTTCCTTATCATGCATGAGAGCCTCACTCAATTTTACAATTTCAACTGAGCAGTTGACTATTTCTTATTATTTATGTTCAGTCTTTATTCCCTCCTATTTTGTTGTAAGTTCATGACAAGTATACTTCTTAGGCTCTTTATTGGGGTTGGTAGCTGTTTCCTTGGTGGACTGTAACTCTTTTACTTGTTCAATCTGTCTGCAATGCTAAAATTCATACTTGACCTGTTATATCAAAATGTAAAACATAAGATAAATATTCATGTTTGTGCACATTAACCATGCTTTAATCCTTCAAATTCCCAATAAGGATGGTATCTCATTAATAGTGTGGTTTAAACTTTAAACTAAATTATCTTAATTGTTGTTTTGGGGCATCAGGGGAGAAGCTTGATGGCATTGACAGCGAATCAGCAGCGCAGAAGCTAAGAGGGCGTGCTGGAACAACTGTCACTGTAAAACTCCATAGTGTAATCATCGGACTATTTTGTCAATCATAATTAATTCACCTCCATCATGAATGATCTTGTTGCATTTTGAAGCAAAGCTAACAAGCTATTAACATTTAATGTTTTATATAGTTATTTGGGTTTTACTAAGCAAAATCTGATGTTCTCTTCAAATGCTAGTTTCTTATACGTTTGTCTTTGTTTTATTCTCCAGGGTAATGATGAGAGAAGTGATTCTAGTTTAAGAGAGGTATTGATTCAATATGGTGCACTGCTAGGAAATTGCTTTCATATCATTAGAATAGAATATCTTAAAAATAACCGATTAGGCCTCTATGGTGTCTTGCTAGTATATACATTTAACTACAGTTCGCTGTAGATTTCTTCGGTAGATTAGTTTAATGAACTCATGGAATTATGCCCCATCTGCTTGAAGTTCAAATTACCTCGCGAGTTTATTAAGCTGTCCCCTATATCCAGTGCCATCATCCCGCATAGAAGTTCAGATGGCCGTCTCTCAAAGACTGGATATGTAAAGCTGTCCGCCTTCTCTCAGGTAGTTATGATTTTTACTCCTCTTTTTCCTTGAACAGATGTGCTTTTTTTTTTCTTTTTTCTTTTTTTTACTGTAATTAATGAAAGCAAATAGATAGTTTACAGGTTATTTAACTTATCAGTGATTTTAAATTATCATGAACAAAATCGTGCATGTTTTTAATATGACAGACGGTCGCTGCTGATATGGAGAATGCAATTCAGGAAATGGAAAATCAGGGTGTTCATTCGTACATACTGGACCTGAGGAATAACCCAGTAAATTCCTAATTCTTTATATCGGAATATGAATATTTTTTATGCTCATTGACCTCCCTTATATATATATATATATATATATATATATATATATATATTTTTTCCCCTTTTTCAATTATTCTGAGTGTTTTTTCTTTCTGATTGAAAATATATTGTGTAGGGAGGATTGGTTAAAGCAGGACTTGATGTTGCCCAAATATGGCTTGATGGAGATGAGACTCTTGTGAATACAATTGATAGGGATGGGAATATGCTACCCATCAACATGGTCGATGGCCATGCCTTAACACACGATCCACTGGTTGTGCTTGTAAGTTTCAGACACTTCTTTTTTCTTTTTGTTGATTGTTTTGGATCGAGAAAGCCACTTTGGTAACCAAAAAATGTGATTTCTGACCCTTACTTTTCCAATAAATGTTGCATTTTTTTTCCTTGCATGCACCAAATGGAAATGGATTATACCAACTTCTGATTCTTTAAAATTTGATTTAGTTGAGTGCAAAGCATATACAAAAAGATCCTTAGAAAGCATCTGATAAATTTCCCAGTTGTGTGCTTTTGCAATTAGATGTAGTAGTTCTATCCTACTCGAGAATTACAGTTTTAAGTTCGATTCATATAATGAATAGACTCAATGTTGCCTATGTATAGATGATTTAGCTAGAATCGATTTGGCTAGTATAGATGATTAGACTCAATTACTTGTATTATAATACTTTTTTTTTATTATTACCAACAAGGTTGACAAATTATTTGACTGCCAAATTATCCCCTTTTGAAACAGGTGAATGAGGGAAGTGCAAGCGCAAGTGAGATTTTGGCAGGGGCACTACATGACAATGGCCGAGCAATCCTTGTGGGGAACAAAACCTTTGGTAAAGGAAAAATTCAGGTACTTAAAGAGTACTCATTCTACACCTTCATGGTTCCAATGTTTTTTTGTTTTGTTTTTGTTTAATAGCCTATAGTCTGCCTAAATTAAGTGCCATCTCTATCAGTTTTTAGGACTTCCTGGTGATAATTTTTGATCATCCACTACAAGATTTTTCTCAAGTAAACATTTTTCCGGTCCCCTTTTGTTGCAGAGTGTTACGGAGCTGCATGATGGATCGGCTTTGTTTATCACAGTTGCAAAGTATTTATCACCGGCACTTCACGACATAGATCAGATTGGCATAACCCCTGATGTTCAGTGCACAACAGACATGCTCAATTCACCTAAAGAATCCTCCTTATATAAGGATAAGAGCGCGGTCTCGTCTTTGGAAGCAGATTCTTGTATCATGGTAGCAGAGCATGAGTTGGACATTCAGGAATCTAAAGGTACTGCCTCTTGAAAGGAATTAAGGGCGCCCTTGCATGCATTGCAGTTAGCACCATAGCCATTTATTTGTATATAAAATGAAGGAAACAATTTGTCTGTTACAAATTTACCTGTACGTGTGTCTTTCTACAGGTGAGGGTAGAATGATATATAGTGTAGAAAATAAATCCTGTATGAATATTTCATCCAGATTTAACATTTCCTGCACTTTTTCCTTGTCCTTTGTCACTGAAATATTATTATTATTATTATTATTATTATTGTTTTATATTGGTTAATAAGCATTCTGTACGAAATTTAAATTACTCATAAATATATATAGTGTAGGAAATAAATCCCTTGTGAATAATTTCATCAAGCTGCATAAAAGAAATTAAAGCAATATATACTCACTTAGAAGTATACAAATTATTAAAATATAATAAAAATAATCATATCAATTTATTTATGGGCAATCAATCCCATCAATACAATATTATGAATCTTGCTACTAACAAACATTATGACAAAAGAATACACAATAACTATAGTTGATGATCATCGTCATCTACATTACTCACACAACAAACAAGCACTCTTGCATGAAAATATGTATGGACCTAATTCCAATTATCTAAATTGAGTGCGACAGAAGAGCGATGAGAGAGAATATTATGGAGGAATAAATGAACGTCCCGGAAACCGGCAAGGCAAAACCGTCTCCGGTGGAGATTGTGGGGGAAAGTGCGGAAGGTGCCATAGCGCCACCTTGGGCCGTGGCGGCCGGTATGTATAACAATGCCACGGCCATGACAATGAGAACGTGAGCTGCAAAAGTTCCAAAATGTGCCATTTCTTGGTAGCGGAGGAATGTATAACAATGGAGATAGAAAGATTGTATTGCAGTGGATTGAATGTTGTTGGTTATGTCATGTGTTTGTTTGGAAGAGTCTCAATTTATAGTGGTCTGTTTGGTGCGTGTGGAAATTATAGTACTAGTTTTGGTATGACTTTTCCGTCATGTCTACTGAAATGGAACCCACAAAAGTCAAGAATTGAGTTGGCCACGTGTCCTTATCATGGGACTATGATATTGTACCAACAAGAAGAAAAACATAAGTACTCGTCGGTCAACCCACAAAGTTGATTTTTATGGAAGTTTTAAACCGCTAATCGAACGTGTCGACTGGCGATTGGAGAATATTTCCTCTTCCTGGTCGGCGAGATTACTTTTCAGCCAGCTAATGTAGGATGTAGATCTGCTTTAAAACTCCTCTCTTAAAGTGGTACTGTATACTTTCCAAAATCATACCTGTATTTTAAAGCAATAAATTTTAACACATTTAATATGATTGAAAAAAATACATATAATGTGTTGAAAATTCATATAACAGGATACAAAACCGAAAATATCCGAACATGCCCATTGGATCAAAATCTTGCGGGAGCAGAGGAAGGTTGTGGTCCACCTCAAATCAATTCAACACAAATTAAGATTTGGAACTTCATTGGTTTGACTTTTTAAAAACTCTGATAATCTGTAAAATAATTCTAACAAATTGTTCAAGTCAATTCTCTACTCAAATCTATAAGCGAATGAATTTTTGAAGTAAATTCATTTTTTTATTTCTTTGAGAACAGATAAGAAAATAATGAACCAAGCAAATCTTGAATTACCTACATTTTAATAAGCTTACTTAGTAAAAACTCAAGAAAGGGTAGGATGGTCTTTTCAATACATGGGTCCTTCGATTATCAAAATTTTTGGTGCCCACCTTGGGGATGATTAATTTGAGAGGAAAAAGGAAAAGTACGGTAGTATTTTTATTTCTTAAGTAGCTTCTAAGAGGTTCTTTAGATGGGAAGAATCATAAATCACTCTATGGGATGAAATAGTTTTTGAGATGCATGAAATGTCAAGTTAAAAAACAAGAGAGTTCTATACATGTTAGAAATATTATTTTGGACTTCAAAAAAAAAAAAAAAAAAAAATCTATGCTGGAAAGCCATAGCTTTCAACCGTTTATCACCATCACCATTTACTTTATAATTTAATGCTTTGACGTTTCATTGGTCGGCCAAAGAAGTTCCCTTTAAGTCTGTACTTTTTCCGCTTTAAGGACAATACACATAGAATTGAAAATATTGTCTCTGTATCCTGTGGATTGAAAGAGTTGAAGAGAAAAGGAAAGGGGAAAGGAAAGACGAGAGAAATAACAAAACCACTTAGAGTTAAAAAACCAAAGGAAATGAACAATTTCACTGCAGAATAAAAACCAATCACACGGTTCCAGCATTGGCAGTTACACATATAGATAAAATATAAGCATTGCACAGAATGTTTAGAGAAAAGTATAATATTTTACAGGAAAATATATCAGAGAACACAATTCTTCTAATATATAGTTACTTCCGCCTGGATCTTCCAGATGTCTTTCGACTAATAAGTTTTCTTTGTGCAGCTTCAAATTCTTCGTCAGTGGGTTCCGAAGCTGGTTGACCTCCACCATATTTGGTCACCAGAGATGAGAACATGGAATCAAATTGATCTTTCCGTTCATTTCGACGTTGAGAAATGATTGCATATACATCTTCTGACTGTTTCCTTGATCTGTAAAGGGGTTTAACAGTATGGTAAGGTTGTGAAATATTTTTAATTCGGAGAGAATAAGGAAAAAGAAAAGGAAAACAAAAGACAAATTATTAAACTAGCATATCAATGGGAAATGTTGAAAAGATGCCTCACTTCTCTCTCCGTCTCAAAGGACTTGTAGGTGGTTTTGTTTCAGACACTTGTTTAGCCCATTTCTGATATGCTTTGGATGACTTCAACTCTCCTGCATGAGAGAGTAATTAGTATCACAAAAAACACTTATTGTACAGATTTTACCAGTATGCAGCACATAGTATATCTGAGGCTCTGAATCAAGGTGACAATTGTAAAGGACTGTAATTCTTAGAAAGGAAGGATTAACTAACCGCTTAATGGTTAAACCTCGGGGATTATTAAAGAAGAAAGAAAAAAATCTATTTCACCACCAAGTATTAGCTTTAGTGGTATCTCTAACTCCCAAAGATGAGGCTGAGAATTCAAATTCTAATTGGGGAAAAGTGGGTGTGCTAGTGTCTAACCTATCCGAATAAATAAATAAAGAAGTTTAATTTGAAAAGATAATATAATAAATAAATAAAAAGGTTTTTATTCAGAATAAAAAATTATGCAATCATTCAAATCTTTACAATGTGAATTGTGTATGATGGATGAACAAAAAAATTTTGAGGTTCAATATTCTACTTTCAAAAGTTTTACGTTAGGTCAGAACCTCAGATTCATATTTTCTCCAATTCATTACTAGAACAGTTTTGCTAGCAAAAGTCAGCTGACAAAAGCTAATAAAAGCCTTCACCTGCAGCTATTGCCTCGTCAATGACATCCTTGAATCGATGGGAATCCAGCTTAGAATCTGAGCATAGCATTGAACAGAAGAGCCTGTGAAAGAAAGGACTTTAGAAAACAGGCTTGCAAGTTTAACATATAGTAGGGAAACACTTAAGCAGTTATACAACTTATACCTGTTCATATTTCCCTTATACTTCTTGTACAGGTCAATCAAATCATTCTTCTCTGAGTCAGATCCTCTATAGTTGGCTTCAAACTCTTCAATATCAGCCTCAGTAACCTGAAAGAAAAATATGGTGCTTATTCAAAGTAAAGACTTTGAGAAGATTATAACATGAAATCTAGAAAGTTGCATAGCCAGATAAATGTGATTTAACCTTTTTGTACATGGTTTGGAAAAACTGCTTCAAATTCTGAACAACATCTCCAGCAAGGTCCTGCAAATCAGAAAAGGAAAACATAACATGCTTGTTTCTTTACAAAAGAAGCAGCATTTTAATATTCTAACGGACAAAAAACCTTTCCATTGTGTTTCTGAGAACAACTGAAATGAGTCAACTTCACTTCATAGCTTTGAAATGAGACTCTTAAAAAATTGAATTTAGAATTTGCAGAACAACATCAATGTTACTTTTTATTAAGAGTTTCTGACATGACCATTTCTGCAAGGACTGTAATTTTGTCCACGAACGAGTGAATCTTCAATAATGGATTGGCACCACCAAATGGTATCATAAAAAATAAAAAATTATGGAGTGTCTGAAATTCCAGACGCACAATAGTTTAAGTTCTTTAAAAAACAAGTTTTGGTAATAACTCACTTCATCATCAACAGAACCAGTCTGATCATAGAGTGATCGTTTCTCCTCATCACCAAGAACTGATATAATCTTCTGCAGTTGCTGAAATTTTTCTTTGGCATCCTGTGATGGAAAAAATGAAGGGTTACAAATACACAATCAGGTCAATGAACACATGAAGAATGAATCGTTAAAAATCAATTTTCACCTCATCGCCAGGATTTTTATCAGGGTGTAGTCGCAATGCCAACTTATAGTACGCTTTCTTTATTTCCTGTTGAGATGCGGACTTTTCCACGCCAAGAACCTAAAAGGCACTGAGTTATTATTTAAAGTATTTTGTGCCTTGCTTCATGTTGGATCAACAAATCATACAGCTATAGAGGGTTAATAGAACAAAACAATAACAAGGAGTAAAAGTAAAGGCACAAACACCATATGGTAAACAATGCATGTTTTGATCAATCAGAAGCCAAACATGGTAATTATAGCAAGTCAATATACCAACTCATAAAATTCAGTCTATTAAACAGTCAATATAATCCACATTTCAGCAGTTTGCATTGATAACATTCTTGCATTAAAATGAAATTCTAGCAGAAGCTTCAGACAAACACAAGTAAAATTATGATCATCGCCTATCCCAGGAAGAAAATTTAATTATCATTAAGAAATAGGGCATTTATCACCCACCGATATATATATATATATATATATATATATATATATATTGAAATGGAATTCGTAGAACTATATACAACATTTATTATGAACACGTACACTAAATCCTTGCTTCCCTACAAATTCGGATAACACAAAGCAAGGATACATAGCTTGCAGCAACGAATCACACAAAGTAAAAGAAAATAATAAAACTATCCTCAAACCTCTTGTAGGAATTTGGTGGTTCAGAGATCTTACTGTATCAAAAAAAGAGCACACATTTTTATCGCATTTTGTAAAGTGACTTTAAACCCTTGAAAATGCCTCAATTAGGGACTTGCCAAGTCATACTATGTTTATGTCGGTGAGGAGAAGGAGACAGGCTACGACGGACACACAATGACATTGGTATGGTATCATATGTTTGGCAAATGTTGTTAGACAGGCAGCCAACTAACAAATTTGATGCTTCAACTTAATACATAGATGGAGGTAAAACAATCTTATTGAGTTCCTTTTTACATTATTGTTTCAAAGTGAGTTAATTGACTATGTTAACACATAATTTCAGTAAGTATTTTCAACAAAATCCTAACTGCTCCAACACTTGAAAATTATGAATTAAACATCGTATTTTAAGATAACAATAACTAAAAGGGTTGTTCTAGAGGAAAAGAATCGATGGTTAGGATTAATTGAGCAAAGTGGCTGCTCTCAGAGTCAATACTGCATTCTCATGATTGACAATCCAAAAATCAAGATTCTCATGGTGGTTCAGGAAGCATTGCTATACATGACTTTTAAGGAGGAAAAATAAATCCATCTTGAAGAAATTAAAAAAAAAAAAAAAAAACATTTAGAAAAATCTAAGTATAAACAAATATTTAACAATCATTATAACAAATTTTCTGAACATTTCTTTCTTTGTAAAATTTACAATTGTTGTGAAAAGGAAAAAGCAGGAACCAATAATAGAAAACTATATATTTATTTTAAAGGGTTTGGAGCAGGACAGGTTTTTTTATTCCCAATAGGGGCAGAGAGGGACAGTTTAATTGACATCCCACTTTGCTTTGAATTTTTTTAAATAATTGTTCATGTCTTCTGATGACTGTCTTTTGCATTTCATTGCTTTAGATAATCAACTTCTTATCTTTTAAAAACCAAATAAATCTCTAAGGAGTAGTTGGAATCATACAACATCTCCGAGGTGGTTACTGGTTAATGTCAATATAACCCTTTTCATAGAAGGGGAGAGGAAAAATAAAATAAAAACGGCAGTCCATGTTGTACAGAAACAAGAGAGAAAAATCGTTTCTTAATTTAAAGTTTTTAGGGCATTTATCCTATACTCGTAATTCATTGTCATATCTTGAACTATATTTGATTTTCAAATCCTAGATTCCATCTACGGTAAGATTCTTACGATCTAATACATCTAGTCCGTAAAATTGCTTAAGGGTTCAGGAAGCATCACTATATGTTAAGGATCCTTATAACTGAAGCAATCACAATTTACAAGTAGACCTAATTAACAAATTAGGGCAAACACTAACTACAAATTCATATAATCGCTTCACCAAATCGAAAAATAAATCATCTAAGAAACAACCAAATTTTTTTTTTTTTTATCAGATACCTCGTACAAGCTCTTCTCCGTTGAAGATTCACCGAGATTTTCATGATGCTTTTGCTCTTCCTCTCGTTCTTCGCTGTCTTCCGAAACCCTAGCTTTCTTTCGCCTCCCCATTTCAAGCAAATATGTGAATTTACCGTACACAAAATGAAGAATTAGAGCGCTGTGTGTGTGTTTGTAGAGACTATAGAGAAAAACAAGGCAACTAAGAATGAGCGCTCTCTCTATAGATATAATCAATCCGGTGATAAATTCCCGCCATATCACCCCTAAAGTTTACATATTCCCGCCATATGATGATCTCAAGCGATCGGCCTCCCACGTGGGACCATGATGATTGTAGGGTGATGATCTTGCCACGTACACATTGATAGTTGATGGGGGCTCTACGCTTCGACGGGACTATAATAAATATGCTACATTCATAAGAGAAAATTGAGAACTATATTGGGCCTTAGTCGATAACGTGACTAGTTGGGCTAAACTAAATTATAGTAACAATTTAAAACATAACGTGAGTAGTTGGGCTAAACTAAATCTTAACTTGCACGTATCACTTTCTTTACGAGTTTAACAAGCCAAACTCATTTTTGTTCAAGTTCTGATAAATGAGTATTAAAAAATTCTAAGTTCAATTTATTTACCTGATAAACAAATACACGTCAAACTAATGACGAATCAAATCTAAACTCTTCGTTTAAAGCCCTATAAAATTTGAGGAGCCAAATCTAATCTCAATTAGGGAAGGCAAAGAGGCAAAGTTTAGAATATCCATCATACCAAAAGTTTTGTTTGGGCAAAACACCCCTCTTACTTGCCTTTTGAGGAATGAAAAAAATAAAAATAAATAAGTTTTAAAAAAACTCCCTTATATATAAAAAATGTGCAAGAAAGGCCCTTATAAGAAAAGGAAAAAAATGCATATAACTCCTTGTATCATTCATGTATTGAGCAATTTGCCCCATATTAAATGGATTAATTGAAAAATAAAAAATAAAAAGTAGTTGGTGATGTCATTTTTAAAATAATAAAAAAAAAAAAGTCAAAACTGTCATTTTTGTGTGACAAGAATACCCCTACTAATTTTGTATGTATTTGAATACTGAATGGGTTTGTTTGGATGCGTTTTAAGACCTGTCCAAAGAAAACGCTCTATATATCGTCATAATCAATCTCTCTAAAAATATATATATTCTAGCTCTAAAATATCTCGCCACCTCTGATATTCTATCTCTAATTATTTTTTCTCTAAAATATCTTTTTGTGGCCGAGATATTATCTCTCTTTCTATTTTTTTTTTTTTTTCTATCTAAATTTTTTGTGTCGCTGCCAATATTATGTCCTCTCTAAATGATAGTTGCACTATATTTTCTTGTAAATGAAAGATCCTCCCTTAATTATATATATTATATATAATAATAATAATAATTAAATAAACAAATTTGTTTTGACACAAATTGTTATCAAGATGAACTTAGGATTTCTATCAAAATTAAAATTTTGATCTAGTTACTCTTACTGGACACAAAACTCAAGCAACTCATTTTTCTTTTTTTAATTATTTATTTTATTACTGTCGATATTTTTATCATATCTTGTTAAAAAAAAAAAAAAAACCCAAAGACTTTAACATCACGCCAAGCCAAACTTTTTGAGCTTACCATTAACTTGTTTTTTTTTTTTCCTAGTTAATTTACCATTAACTTTTCAAGCACAATTTCTCAGATATCATTAATAAGTGAGATAAAATATAATTAAAAAAACTATTATTATTGATAAGTGAGATTGACGTGTACTTAGTGACATAGATCTATAAATTTTTTATTTTTAGCGACCATAGATTTATATATTTTTGAATGAATTGGAAGAACAATAGTTAAATTTGGTAACCGATAACAAGACACAAACATTCTAATTTTGCTTTAAATATTGGGACACTCATTTATAATTAAATGCTGTTATGTTAAGTCTTTAAGGGTAATTTTGATATTTTGTCTTTTAACCTTCTTCTTTTTATTTTTTATTTTTTTGGGTAATGATAAAGTAAGGTTAATTTAGTAATATTTTCATTAAAATTTTGATTTGTTCTTATTTGTACAAATTAAAAATTATGTGGATTTTGATTTGTTAATTTTGTCCTTTTGTCCTTGTACATTTTGCATATTATGAGGATTTATTTATTTACAGTTAACCCTTAAAAAAATAAATAAATGAATGAATTAGAGGGATAAAATAAAGTTGGCTTGACTCGGTGCAAAGGGCTGGTTGGCAGACAAAAGGTATTTCATATAGGATGAAGAAGAGAGATCATAATGCTACCCAAACCTCTCTCTCTCTTTGCCATTCGATTTCTCCGATTAACGATAGGAACATATGATTCGATTTAGGTAATATATGTCTCTCTGCCGATAGTAATCTGTGATTTTGTGTGTGTGGTGATTTAGGGTTTTTGGTGACACATTGAATTTGGGTGAGGATCCATCTGGTTCGATTTTGTGACTCGTGATCGGCCAAAAGCTGTCGTCTTTACAACAGGTGAGGGGCTCCTTTGACATTTTTGTGTCTTCTTGATATTTTAGTCTAATTAGTTGTGTACTTAACTACATATATGTACTTGTCCTTTCTTTGTTCTCTCTCTCTATATATATTTGTGATGATGTGTGCTTTCAATTGTTTTCATGGGTGGACTTTAATTCTTTGAATATGTAAAGCTGATTCCTTTGTATGATTATATCACCCAAGTGTTACGGAAGGTGCAAAGTTAGGATTTTTAAGCGAGTGTTTGAGACCCATCTAAAGTTTTGTCAGTTTAGTTCATGATAACGGATTAGAAGGAAACCCTTCATTTTTTACTTGCTGGGTTTTTAATAAACTATCCAATTGTAGTGGAATGTATTGACTCGTTTGATGTGCTGTTTAATAAACTATCCAATTGTAGTGGAATGTATTGACTCGTTTGATGTGCTGTTTTGGATTCATTACCAGTGATTGTTAGTTTTGCTTGTTCTGTTAGTAGTTATTTAGGAGTTTTTTTTTATTTTTATATGTTTTTGCCAAATCTTATGTTTGGATTCATGTGTTTGAATTATTGTGTTATATCAGCTGTATAGAGTCTTTATGCATGCAATTGTGTATACAGTCTAGGTCTTTATTAGACTCCCCTGAATAATTTAGACTCTTTATAAGAGGTCATCTTTTGTTCTCTTTCATATTTGAAGGTTTCTGTAAACTTGTGGGAAACAATTTAGGTAAAAGAGCAGTGGTCAGGTTTTACAAGGGGCAACTTCTTTTGGTTTCTCAAGCAGTGCAATTTTTGCTGTCATAAAAGATGAAAATCACTAGTTTTTCTTCACTCTTATCTTAATTAAATGCAACTCAGTGTTTAGGTATTTCTAGATTTCTGATGTAGCTGTAGGGCTGCAAATGAACTGGAGTGATTTATTAAAGAAAACGAGCTCAATCTTAATATTCAAGCTCGTTTTTCATACAAGCCGAGCTTGAGCAAGACTGAGCTTGGTTTGCTTAGGCTTGTTTAACCAAATGTGTCAGTGTTCCAAAGTTTTGTTCAACCAAACAGGCTCTTATAGTTTTGTTAACAAACGCTGTCTTAAATTTTATCCAATGAAACATGCCCTTTACACTCATTTTAGCCTAACATGATGTTTCTATCCCTGTTTTTCAAAGGTGCTTAAAAAATGAGATAAGATTTCCTCTCTCTCACATCAGTTTGCTATTAGCTTAATCACATCCAATCTCTCTCTCATCTGCAAGTGCAAGATGCCAAGAAGTGTGATGGATTCTACGAAGATTGTAAAGTGATTGTTGGCAGTGGTGAGATTCTGATTTGAGGTTGGGAGATGATGATGCCATGACAAGTTGATGCAAAGATTGAGAATGTCTGAAATCAATTTTTGAGGACAACTTCAAGATTGATAGGCTCGCAGGGTGAAGCTTAGTGAGCTTAGGGGAGGTAGGTTCACAGGCAATGATGTCCCGTGGGTTGATCAAGGAAGGTAATGATGTATCAGCAGATAAAGCCAACAAGCTGCAGAGGAGCTGGCAACGTTGGTTTACTAGGGTGTTAAAAAGGAGGTGGTGGTGACAGCTCAATTCTGATGCTGGTTCAAGATGATGCTTATAGTTTTCGTGGGTGCTTAGGAGATGTAGTGGTGATGGCAAAATGCTCTGGCGAGTAAGAGAGTAACACGCTGATGTTGTGGTGGCAGCAACTCTGATGGCGATTCAAGAGGACGCTGCTATAGTTGGATTTTGTCAGTGCTTAGGTGATGAAGTTGTTATGGTGAGATGCTTTGGTGGACTGGAGGGATTTGTGATGATGTTGTGGTTGCCATATTTGGGATTTTGATAAAGCCGAGCTCTTAACTTCTCTCTGCTTGCTTTTTACTCTTAAGTACTCCTAACCCAGCCTCTTCTTTCCTGTACATATGAAAAAGATCTGCTATGTAATCTCTTTAGGCCACCTGAACCCATCACACCTTTGGCAGGAGGAGTTATAAAGGTGGGAAAAAAAAAACCAATACAACACCTGCATATATTACTTCTAGGGGGTTGATGCATTTGTGAATTTTGGGTTTTGCTAATGTGAGGGGTAAGGACTAATGAAGGGTGTTAAGGTTGACGGCTACCATACAAGATGGCTGGTTGGCTTGGTCTACAGCAATATGGAAGATGGCAGTGATGGCTGGATTGGTTTTTTGCTCTGATACCAATTGGTCAGGGTAAGCTCCACCTTTAAAGTGGTAAGGCAGTCACACAAAGCCCCTTATACCGTTAACTGGAGGTGTAGCGTGGTTGATATTGGTTGAGAGTATCTTCCATCTCTGCTCCGGCTTAATTATTCACATCAACGCACTTGCATGTGCTGTTTACTTGCTTTACTTGAATGCGTTTCTATATTTGTGTATGTTGTTGGTTGGGAAGTAGATTGTTGGTATTGTTTGTGTTTTGTACTCCTAGTCATTGAGATGATTTTGCAGCTGGGTAGCTGAATAGATGGAGTCTTCCAAAGAGACAGGATGCCAAGCTCCAGAAGGCCCCATTCTTTGCATCAACAACTGTGGCTTCTTTGGCAGTGCTGCCACAATGAACATGTGTTCCAAGTGCCACAAGGACATGATATTGAAACAGGAACAGGCCAAACTTGCAGCTTCTTCCATTGAGAACATCGTAAATGGTGGATTGGGCGGCAACGGTAAGGAGCTTGTTGTTGGTGGTGATGTGGATGTGCAAGCCGGACCGGTGGAGGTGAAGGTTGTTTCTACACAAGCATCATGTGATTCATCCTCTAGCCAGAGTTCAGAGTTGAAGGTGAAAGAGGGTCCTAATAGGTGCGGCACTTGTCGCAAACGTGTCGGTTTAACGGGGTTCAATTGCAGGTGTGGAAATCTCTTCTGTGCAGTTCATCGGTACTCTGACAAACATGACTGTCCATTTGATTATCGGACAGTTGCTCAGGATGCTATCGCCAAAGCCAATCCTGTTGTGAAGGCTAAAAAGCTCGACAAAATCTAGGAGCCATGGACTGAAGGTTTTATTTTCATGTGCTGAAGTATGATGCTTTCACTTTATATCCATGTCTATTCGTATAAGTTGGGAGCTCATCTTGCTAGGTATCCTTGAGTGATATAAATGGTTTAGAGCATGAGAGTGAGGGTTTTTTCAGTCCATTGAACACTATTGTCCTTGTTGGTCGATGAGGATTACTTTCATCTCTGGTGTGTTTCTTTATTTGGGCTGGCTTCTTAGACGTATTCATGATTAATTTGTAATCTGTCCTTTTGGTTCTCTTTTGCATTTAACTGTAGCAGATTTCATAATGGTTGTGCAGTATGGCAATAGTACAAAATATGTGTGTTATAATCTATTTCATCAGTATATATATACTAGTTCTATAAACTCCACCTAAAAGATGCCGTGTTTAACATACCCAAGGTTCAGTTATTAATGTGTGGTTTGGATGTGCGTGGGAGGTAGAAATCAAAAGTGGTGGTTTAAGGTGCTTTGTTCATTGACTGTTACAGATCAATCATCAATCATACTAATATTCAATAATGATACTCTTCCCAGGTAGGTCCTTGAGTGATTGGTAATCCCACTTTTTGGTAGTCGGGCGATCATCCAGACCCCTTCAAGTGTTACATTTTGATTGTAGAACACGCCCTTGACTTTGAGTCGACCTGGACTGTCAACTGTGGCACGCGGTCAATCATTAAACAAGAGCCCAGAGGCATGAAACAGAGTGGGTGTTTGTAAAATGACACTGTTTTACTATCATAGCACACAAACATACCAAACTTGTTCCTTACTTTTTCTTTTCTTCTCTCTCTTTCATTTTTTCTTTCCCAGCTCCATCTTAATGGAAATAAAGAAAGGTAGTTCCTTTTTTGTTCTTTGGTCATTTTCTTAATGTTTGATACTGCGTTATAGGTTACATTGATGGAAATGGATTGAGTCTAGCCACTGGTGTACAAACCAGAGGATGTGCCCGTGGAAGCGTCAACCCAGGTCCCTCTTCCATGTCCACTGTACCATTCCCTCCATCACCAACCTTCCATTCAAAGCATTGAATCATAGTTGCAAGGCTTGTTTGGACTACCTGTAACGCCAGTGAAGTCCCAGGGCATCCTCTTCTGCCACTCCCAAACGGCAACAAATGAAAATGCTGCCCCCTGACATCCAACTGGTTCTTCCCACTTCCCTCTTGATCATCAACAAACCTTTCTGGGTGAAACTCAAGTGGGTTTTCCCAGTGATTCGGGTCTCTGCCTAGTGCCCAAACATTGACAAACAGTCTAGTCTTCGCTGGTATTTTATAGTCCCCAATAGTGCAATCTTCACTTGACTCTCTAACAATCAATGGGCCTGTGGGGTGAAGCCTTAGTGTTTCTTTAACTATGGCTTGGAGGTAAGGAAGGTTTGGTATATCTGATTCTTCGACTAGTCTGCTCTTTCCAACCACACAATCAATCTCCTGTATTGCTTTCTCCATAACATTGGGATGGTTGATCAGCTCTGCTAGTCCCCATTCCGTTGTAATGGCCGATGTGTCGGTTCCAGCAGCAAATATGTCCTGCAAATATTATAGCATGGGATTTTGTATATTTTTGCTAAACTAGACTGATAAAAGTTGCTAGAAAGACCAATTTTATCATAATCATAATATAATAGAAGTGTTAGTAGAATACTCTTGTATTTTAAGAACATGACATAAGTGTCTCTCAAGGACTCTTCATTAGGTTACCGCATTTTTTGGATCAGAGATTAAACAAATGGAGCAAGCTTAAACCCTTAAATTAAAATAGTAAAAGTCAACAACTATTGATATTATTTATCACCTTATTAAGTTAAGTGATTTTAGTCTCACACATGAATAATTCCTTTGGTTGATTAAGACATTGAAGCAATTGTACCTAACACTCCATTGCTGCTATGGCCGGTCGGCAAAACTAACCTCTCAAAAGGCTTAATTGTACTTAAACCCTAGTAATTATCGTTTGTGACACCACCTCTTGAACTATGTTTTTGACAGATAACTCCCCTGATTTATGAAATTTTTTTACACTCTACTCCCTTTTGCCTTGTGATCATTATTTACCAATGCCACATACCTGCTATCTGATAAATGCTCGAACGAACAATTTTACAGGAGATGAGATTTGATTTTTAGTATATGGGTTCTATTTGAGAGAGTTAATGTAGCTATTAATACTTGAACAAGAAATGCTGAAAATGAGTGATGCATTACCAGAATGAAGGCCTTAATGTTCTCTCTCGTCAGTTTCATCTCTGAGTTCTCATCTTCTAATATATCCAGTAAAAGATCAAGTACATCCTTCACAGCATCACCAGCTCCTTCAACACTCTCTTTCCTACTCCTCCTTGCCTCTTCATGCTCCCCTATGATCCTCTCCATCATCCCATCGAACCGGTCACGAATATCCTTCACTCTCTTCCCAAATCCCTGCAAATCCAAGTTCTTGCAGAACCAAATAAAATCAGAAAGATTGAACTTCCCTGTGAGCTCGGCTATCTCATGAATCAACTTCCTCACCTCCCCGGCTTCATGTTCCTTCTCTGAACACCTCTCTCTCATAACCATTCTTGATATCACATTGTTTGTCACCCTTATGAGCTCTCCCCCAACATCAACTGCCTCACCGGCTTTCGCCTTCTTTAACATTAGCTTCATGAAATGTGTCAACTCATCTCGTCTAACCGGAGAGAGAAGGTCTAGCGTTCGACCACCTAAGAGTTGAGACATGCATAGTTTTTTCATGAACTTCCAATAGGGTCCATAGGGTGCAAATGAGAAATCTTGTGATCCATAAGTTAGGTAATCCACAGCGGCGATTTGAGGACGGTTGGAGAAGGAAGCTTCATGAGTTTTGAGGAACTCTTTGGCCATTTCCGGGGAGGAGGCGACCACAGAAGGGACAGAGCCGAGGAAGATGTGTATCAATGGGCCGTAGCGGGCTGAGAGCTTGTGTAGAGCCTGGTGAGGTATCGGAGCTAGTAGGTGGAGGTGGCCGATGATCGGCAGGGCTAGTGGGCTTGGCGGGAGGTGGGACTTGGCTCGGAGTTTGAAGAGATATCGGAGAAAGATGGTGGAGGTGAGCCATACGAGGAAGAGAATGATGAAGCCTTGGAAATCAGCCATGGATGAAGTTGCAGGAGAAACAAAGAAGTACTATATGATGTTGGTTCGCAGAGGGGTGTATTTATGAAATGTTTGTAAGAACAAGTGGCCTGCCGGCCTGTGGGCCATGGGACTAAGAAAACCTCAACGACGACCTTGTCCGTATAATGACAGATTCGTCACATATATATAATACTATATTAAATTTCATTCTTTGTCTTAATTTGTTTGTAATACATATAGTTTAACTCCAACATTATGTTTGTAGTTTTTATTGTATTACAATTGTCTCTTGTCTACTACTATCGCATAAAAGATGACCAAGTCCATGCCTGTTAAATAACTCTTCCATGTTCTGCTCTTCTCTGCCCTAACTCGATCTTAGTGGCTGGCAATTTGACAATGATTTTCTGAAGAAGAGAGTGCAAAAAACTTGAGCCAAAAAAAATAAAAAAAATAAAGCAAAAAGTTTTCTTTCGCAGTGTAGCCATTGGAGTTAAACTTGCATAGCTCAAGCAATAACAGACATACCACAAAAGCAGAAGAAATAGAAAAGCTAGCTTTATATACTAATAAAATGGTACAAAGAGTCATCTTCCTATTTATCAGGACATGTATATATGATATCCCTATTCAAGTTGAGAGGGAGAAAAAATATATTTAGTTCGAGAACTCGTGTCACAGCTTTCAAAATATGATAGCTGAAACTCGTATCAACTACACTCTTTACAATGCAGATATATACAAATATGCGAAGGCTCAATGTGTGAGGTTAGGTAGGGATGAGTGCCAATATTTGGTTCCTGATGATTCCCATGCACTTCTGAATCTCACCATAAACTGGAAGGTTCTGTGAACAGCAAGGTTGCAAACTTGTAACAGCAGAATCCAATATCTGGGCCACATCGGCTGGTGGAAATTGTCGTTCTGTACACTTCTGCAAGTTATTTTAAAAAATATTACTCAGCATTACATGCTACACACACAAATTCATATATGGGTTCAAACCATTCAATCTTCGTTAAAGTCCATTGATACCACAAGGTTGACTAATTTAAAAAGACCATTTTGCAAAACACTTCCCCTTTAAAGGACTAAGACCCTCTTGGCTCTGTAAATTTCTGAGTTCACAACCGTGCAAACTCTTAAAAAGTACCCACATCAAGTGACTACAAATTTCTTGATTAACTACATCAACTAACCAAACTATTATCCTACAAACATAGCTGCAATCTCTTCCGTAATTAACCGACTGCTGTTCACTCCCTCCAAATTCCTACCTTCTAAGGCTTAAAAGTTTCAGGAAGTTTACAACCCAATCCTATCACAAGGTCATCATAAAAAAATTGAAGCCTAATTATAGGGATTGAAACCTCAAGGATGGATTTCTCTGAGCATCCAATAGCTGTACCTTAATATGAAATGACAAAAAGTTGTTCAACTATTACGGATAAAAATGTTATTGTAGTGCATACTTCTGATTGAAATTAATGTTCAATAACAAGTCATGACAATTACAATTTGTATATTGGGTTTTGTATCTCACAGAGCTTTTGGAGATTTTGGAGGGAGGGAGGCAGGTGGAGGGGCATTTCTTCTTTTGGCGTAAGGTCTTACCATATTGTAAATATATCTTTTATCGGAATAAAGACTCAGCCGAAGAGGTGTAGTGAAATTTGATAACATTATGAATTTTGACAAAAGAAATGAAATTTTAAAGAAAATGAAAAAGAGATATGTCATTGGTTTGTACAGTCCTGTTGGCCTAGAAGATTTACAATTTTATGGTTTTAAAATCTAAAGACTAAAGAATGGCGGCCAAATAAAATTGAAGTTAAATTCGGACTGAATTCTATAAAAAGAAAGATGTTCATTTGTACTAAAACGTGGCGGCCAAATGAAATTGAAGCTGGCTTTCATCATGTCTAGTCAATCATAAATGGAGAACTGATATGTATAATACCTAGTTTTAAAACAATAATGTCCCAAGTCATAATAGAAGGTTACAAGTTAGTGTGTCAACACAACTCAACTCATCTCAACAAAGCCTTTTCTCAACTATTTGGAGTCGGTTATATGAATATTTTTCGCCATTATGATCCATCTAAAGCCATAGCCTCAGTTAAATCACATGTTATCAAAACTTCCAAAACCATCTCAACCATGTTAGTTTTGGTCTTCCCCTTCCCGTAACATTAACCGCAATGAGGACCATACCACTTTTCCAACTATTAGCCGTCGCTGCACATGGCCAAACCATCTAAATAAGTTCTCTCTCGTTTTATCTCAATGGATGCTTACTTCAACCTTCTCACGAATGTATTCATTTCTAATTTTATCTTTTCTTGCTGGCACACATCTATATCAACATTTGCAATTCAACACACTTATTTATGTGTATATATTTGTGTATAGCGGTTTTATAAAATTTACATTTTTGATCACACAAGATATCAGAAGCAATTTTTTCTTATTTGTGCATAATCAAGCCTAGGTAACGACAAAGCACGATTAAAATAATTCAAAACATAAGACAAACTGGTTTTAATATTTTAAGAATTAGGAACTTTCAGCAGAAGAAAGGAAGGTTAAATCCTGTAGGAGCAATATATAAACAAATATATATATATATGGAACAAATCCTCAAATTTACCTGAATCATGAGCAAAGTAGCGACACAATGACTGATAAGTTCTGAAGGGATTTGTGCATCAGTTTCGTCTGATGCAGTCTTCAATTTTGGATCAGGTGAATGCAGTGAATTCAATGTGCAGGAAGTCAACTTATCTTGAGAAGCCAAATTGCCATGATCAGCAGGAGTAGAAGTTCGCATGGCCAGCATGCAGGAATCATCTAACGGAAGCCGAATGCTCACATAATCTATAGCCTCCTCAATCCTCTCAATAGTATTTCCCCCTCCCTTCAGTGACGACATTGCCTAATTTATTTAATAGGGGGAAATCATCATCAGAATTAAAAACCATGTCAGAGTTAATATTCAAGAAATTAACAAAATGGATAAACTATAATTCTAAATCGAACAATCTGCACTAAGCTTCTCATGGAGCCTAAGAGCAGAACAATCTAAGGCACAAACTTAATTGAAGTAAGGTGCATGTATAATAGATGCACATTATATGCAAGTATAGGTTTTAAAAAAAAAAACTCATTATATGTAAGTATACATAAAAAAAACTCTCCTCCCCGAGAGGGTGCAGGGGTTTTAAAAATGGAATTTTCAACATCTAACTAGGAGGATACAGTAAACCGATGCGCATAAATCTTTTCAAAATGCATATGCATTAACTAAATCAAATGCAACTATTGCGAATTGCAACAATAAAAATCTATAATCATGTAGACTTACTATCCCAAGTAATTAAAACCAAGCACTAGACAGTTAATTAAGTGGTCAACTATAACTGATAAAATCCGTCAAATATTTGACAAGATTGAATACGATTATGATATGGTATAGAAATTTTAGATAACAGTCACTAACATAAAGAAAAAGATACGAATGAATGATTAAAAAATAAAAGGCACATTTTTATGAGCTTGGAGCCAACTAAAAAAAGTGAGCCAAAGGACTTTCTGTGGCCCCTTGGCCTGTAGTAGGTTCAGGTACTCCAGCTGATCTTGACGAGCCTGGGGATTCTTGGGGTCTAGGCACACTTTAACAACTACGGGATAAACTGCTTTACAAGATACAAGGCCACTACACTTGAATAATCCACTATCTAAACCATCTACCTTCCAATGACAACATACTATATGTAGATAATATCTAGCCCGTAAAATGCAACTGCAAGTCCCACTATGCACCTGTCCCAAATAGTTGAGACTTTCTGTTGAGATGAGATACAGATCCTGTAACTTCAATGAGAACATTCACCAGAGTTTCAGAAGCTTGTTCCAATAAAATATTTCAGGTTTTCACAAAGCAATGAAATCTCATCAGTATGAGCATTTATGTGCATTGGAGGCAACATCCTCATTTGGTATAATGAAGTAATTTCTTTACATTTACAAAGTAGAACAAGAGATGAACACAGTATAAAAAAGAGGTTCTAAGAACTTAGGAATCTAAGCAAGGTGGCCTAACATGTAAATCAAAATGTTTAAAAAAAGTTCTAGGTCCAAGATAAATTGAAATATAAATATATATATAATAAACCTTCCACCTGTATCACGGTACAAATAACCATAGAAAGAAGACCATGGAAAATAATTAGTCAAAAAAATTAATACCTGCATAGCTGCATCTACCATCGTTCGGGCTTTTATTCTGGAGCTTTCAACAATTTCATTAACATGAGATCCTGACTCTTCACTGTGACTTGCAGAACGATCGAACAAGCTCAATTGGCTGATCGAATCACCAAAATTGTCCAAGGGCCTTGGCCATATTAGTGAGGAGTTCCTTTGATACGTGTTGCGTTGCCTCAAGCAATAGAGAGCAGAAGATACCTACCAGGGAAAGTGATTGACTATGAAACTTGTGACATGAAACAGTACAGATAATTTAAGATAAAAAGGAGTAAAACCGAAATATTTCATGGAAACCACACACCTGCTCATTAATTTCATTTAATTGTACAATTACAGCAGCATATTGTTTCTTAAAAAGCTCTGAACCATTGAGGGCATTATCGCCATCTTTCTGGTTTTCCAACACGTCATCATTCATGCGCCTCAACTCAGACACCACTGCTTCCTGTAAGATTCAAAATGGCCTATTATCTCGGATCTAAACTATCAACTTTCTAGTTGTAATTTCTATTTCAGGTATGTTCTAGTGTAGCATGTTTCACAATTACTTTTGTGAAACATATTTCACAAAAGCCAAAGTCAGTGGAAAAATGAAGACAAAAGCCCCACTAAAAAAAAATGCAACACCAAAAAAGTCACCAGAGAAATGCAAAGTGGCGACAAGTTAGAAAAGGGAGACTCTGAACATCAAAAAGTGACCCAATAATAAAATACAATTAGAAAACAGCCAAAAGAAGAGGAAAGAAGTCAAGAAACTCAAATGGAAACTAATACCAGCCAAAAGTAGCACAGAGATCCGTAGTCATCAAACATTGGCATCGTATACATATCATTTTAAAATCAACTACAAAGAGGAACTTCTGCTTTATGTATTTGCAAAAACAGCCAAAAACTGCCTATTTTAGCTTATCATTCCATCTAAAAATCTATAGAAGAAGAAAGGGTTCCAAGAAAGAGATTTAAGACAAGCTTTTTTCTGCCATATTTCTCCTCGAGAAGTTGAGGAACTCATAACCAAATCAAATAAAATATCCCAATCACATTTAGAGAAGATTTCAAATGTAAACAAAATTGAGAAAGTTTTAGCCTGTATATTAATTCAATGTAGAAGATTTATACACACGCACACATGTAATATGGCATCTCCTTTTCCAACTCCTCGATCATCATTTCTGACAAGAAATTAATTTCACAGACCATTATGTTATACAGTTGGCTAGTTTATCAAAGGCTATAATTTTGGAAGCATTGCACTTGAAACAGATTTTTAATGGAACATTCACCCCCAATAAGATCATATGGAAAAGAAGCATCAACTTGAAAATTTGAAGTTATCATTTTCACTTGGATACAAAAACAACCAAGCCTTTTTTCTGACTACTTGGGGTCGGCATCATTTTCACTTAGATACTGACTTGACTATTCAGATACATAAACTATGTAATTTCAGATCATTTTAACCTGAGACGTGAATGATCACAATCCACTTTAAAGTGCAAGAACAGGAACACGCTCATACTGAACACATGATCACAGAGTCGAGTGTTAATTTTAAATGCTGCCACCTGGAGAGGGGACGGGGGGTCATGGAGTTTATCCATAAATTGTGGAAAGCATGACTAATAAAGCACTATTATCAAATACAAACGTGCTAAAAATATTTAAAAACCAGTTGAAAAGAAATCAACCAATGAAAGAACTAGTAGTTGCTTTCTATTTACATTGGGGCTATTATTACCTCAAAAGAAAGGGTAAAGGGGAGAAGAGATGAAGCGAAGAGAGAGAGATTTTCGGGAACATAAATTTAAGTTAAGCTTAAGAACATCAGAAAACAGAAAGAATAGAATAAAAAAAACCATATAAAATGTTGTACACAAGTTCAAATTGTGAAGCTAGTAGAAAAAGGAGGGATGGCAGATCTCCTCCATGAGAAAACTTATTTGTGATTCTGCTGGAATGCATAGCTGATAAGTTACAAGATAGTACGAATAGAACTAGTAAAGAAATTGATACTGCTAATTTAGGGTAAAAAATTGACACAAAATATGGAAAAAAATTGTTAGGCCATTATGCAAGAATTCAGCAATTATAAGTTTTTTCGTACTTCTAAATTCTAATATACATTTTCTTTGACCTATCAAAAGAAAAAAAAAAAAAGAAGCATAAATAAGTACTAAAAAATTAAACAACTATAAGTAGAAAAAGTAAATACAATAGAGGAAAAAGATTAAGCACACAACCTTTTTATCAAGAGCACGGGTCAGCTCAGCAAGAGCCTGAACATCAGCTTCCTTTGCCTGGATCTGTGCTAGTATTGAAGGCTGAGAATTTGCTGCTTGTTGATTGTTAGAAGTTTCCTTAGGTACACGTTTAGCTGGCGAATTGGCATTTGTTGGAGTCCCCTGGTCAACAAAATTTTCTCTTAGATAATCTTACTATTGATGCTACTAGATGTCTTAGCATAAAGTTTCTTCCAACAAAATCAATCATAAAGATCAGGACGAAGATAATAAAACATGATAATTAATGCCAACCCCATCCATATGGGACAAATGCAAGGATAATGAATGTCTACTAGAAATTGCCTTAAAATTAGTAGAAAGCAAAACGCTGTTCATATAGCTGATTTTAAATAGTTACACAGCTTTCTAATCAGTGATGCATAGCATTCCAAAAAATATAATTAGAAAGTAAATTTCATATTCTGAAATCATATCTTCTTATAACACCCAGATAAAATGCTTCTTCTCGGAAAAAAATGATAATTTTTGCATCAAGTCCAGGAGATTTAGGATCCATAAAAGAGGATTTTGTAATTAAATGCTACCTCTTTCATGAATAAAGTTAAAACTATGGTGTCAATCAAAAGTAAAGTTGCCTGACACGGTCATCTCTAGTAATTAAAATGAGTTATATGATTTTTTTTTTTTTGGATATTAGACATGGATTTGATGTTGGAAAAGGCAACAACAACCACCGCCAAGCCTTTTTCCCAACTAATTGAAAAAAAAGAAGATAAAATAATAAGTTCTTCTCATCATAAATATTAATGTCCAATAAAATCAAACTTAAAATCTTTTCTATAAACATTCCACATTAGGCCAATGTAACCCACCCTTACTTTCAATTTACTGAGTTTAGAAAGAGAATAACAGCACACAATTCATTCTCAAGGGTATAATATTTTAAGCGAAATGATATTAGCCCTCCAAAAACAAGAATCTAGCATTCCACTGTCTCTGATATTTAAATTCAATAAGTGCAGTGCTAGAGGCTTTTTCTGGAGCCCCAGTATCACATCCCATATTTGATACTATTTTATTTGATATTTATAGATAGAAATATTAAGAACCAAGGATTTCTGATCTTTACCTGCTTCAGTAAGTTACTCATGGGATAAGTTGAAGGTGACACTTGAGAGGGACCATCGAAATTCTCCATGTTTTCACCCGGAGAAAATTTCATGAACCCATCTAGATTCTGATCTTTTGACTGCGCATTTATTTTGAACTCATTCAAGTTCTCAAGGAATTTATCAACAGCAGTTGTATGCTTTGCCAGCGACGCAGGTATATTTTCCAATGGATTTAATGGCATGCAATCAATATCCTGCAACAAGTAAAAACTAAACCGTGCCACTCAAGGGTAACAAGCAAATAAACTGAGGAGAAGAATGCTCTACTTACTAAAAGCTGCAACTAAAATTAAAGAACTGTAATTATTACTTTCTCAATTTGTTAAGAATTAAGATGTTAAATATGCATTCGATGCAAATCAAAAACTAAATCCCCAAATGCAATTGTATTATGAATTTTGAATATACAAGACCCAACTTGTAACATCAAGTCTAAGCATCGAGCATCTAGAGCAAATTAAACCAATAATGCATCTCCAGCATCTGAGTTAACAACAAATTCTCTAAAGGATATAGGCAAAGACGATGTAAATCTTATTCTGTTTTGTGCCATATTCATTTCATTTATTTACTGCTTACATGATTAGATCAGGATTTGGTCTACAAAATGTTCAAAACAAATTGATGATGGAATTTGAATCCAACACACTCGAGTGAAACTCAGAAAGCAGGCGTCCCACATGCTTCTAATTTTTTTCCAATCATACAACAATGCTCATGCATGTATATTATAATTGTTGACTACAACTTCCTCTCGATTTCAATTTAACGTTAGGCATTTTAGTTACAAATATAAAGGGATTTGCTTAGGAGAAAACTATAAGCAAAGTTTTTTAGATGTATAGCTTCAAGAGTTTGGCACGAGAGGGTAGCAGCGAAACCAGTAAAGAGATCAACAGACTATCAAGAATATTACATAATGCTTACTAACAAAGAAACAGAAGAAACTATTTTTATGGAAATGCAAACGTCATTCGACATTAAAAGCAGATAATAATCATACCAGATATCAACGATGTCAGATTGCATATCTGACATCAAGTAATATAGTAATAGCTGTTAATTTAGTGACTTGCAAGAAGATTTTGATTTTTTGAGAAATGCCCGAGTGATTTTGTCTCTGTGAGAATTTTGTTATAGCTTTATAGTATCCTCAAACATTATCCAAGACCTCTGCCAGTAGAAGCAGCCCATTCACATTTAGAATCTCAGTGAATATGCGACATCTGTTATTGATGGCTACTTGCACTTCATTGGTAAATATGCAAAGAGTTACAACTATTAAATGTCTTTAGGCATTGGATTACAAGGGATAAGGTTCCATTTAATAGGGGTAAGAAGTAAAAATATATGGAAAAGGATAAAATAGAATCTGAAGTATAGGTCCTTATTATGTTTAGCTTTCTCACGCCAACGAATAAATCCAATAATAGTGCCAATTTTTGGGTTGAAAATTTACAAATTTACCAGATTAATTTGTCTGCATCTCAAAACATCTCTCAAGTATATGCAATGAATATAAGATGCACAAAAAGACGTTAGGTTAGAAGATGCATTACCATGACAAATTCAACCCCTAGATCAGGTCGGTCAAACTGAACCCGGCACCTACTCTGATCAACTGTTAGTACACCTCCATCGTGAATCTCTCTTGTTTTTGGATGAATGGCCATAACACGTTGTCCAACTGATAAAGGCCTTGCCAGATCTGTAGGAAGTCCTTCCCTGGTACCTGCACGAAGTTCAGTATAATGTTTTCTAACAGAATCACGGTACTGATTCAGCTTCTCCTTTTCTTCCTTCAAAAATTGCTCAGAGAATCTCCGTGGTTTGCCTAGGGAACTGCATCAACAAAGGGAGTGCAAAATATAAGTGCTCTTAAGACACTCTACCGGTATTCAGGTTCAGTGTAGGCCTAGTAAAAATTAAAAACTGCAAAGAACATGAGCAGTTGGAAGGTATGTACCTTCTTATGACACCCCATTCAACACGAGTTAATCTTGGAACATGGCCCAATCCGACATGATACAAGTACTCCACAAACTCCCTTTTGGCAAACCATGGGTAGTCAACCGAACTGTAGAACCACTCAAAAGCACACCATCTCCGTAACCGGGGATTTGACAGGCAATTGGAAAGCTTTTCCTGCATTTAAAATTATTCACAAAAAATACTCGAAGCTTAAAGAAACTAAAAATTCATGAAAATGCAGAGAACAGAAAGTACTTTAAGATTGAGTATTCCGTCATGGACTGAAGAAATCGGTACATTAGGCTGGTCATTTAAAATTTTATCAGGAAACTTCAGATCTTTCAGGACCTGTGTTTTCTGTAGGTCCATCTTACGTCTGCTCCTAAATTTGGTTGGTAAATTAGCCTGGTTTACCACTGGAATCTGTCCCGTTGATACAGCTGAATCGTCTCCTTCCCTTCTTGGATCAGTGCTTGAAGAAGAATGTTCGGGATGTTTGACCAATTTCCCATGTTTTTGCTGTGAAGCATTATAAGAGGAACGTTTATTCTTACTCACTGATTTCTTCCCTACATCACTACCCTACAAGCAGGTAAAGCAGCATATAATATCATCAATGGCAAGAACAGGGAAGGATTCACACTAAAAAAATTACACATAAAGCACTAATTCTTTACATAATAAATAAATAAGCAGAAGAGAAAAAGAATCAATGACACAAGCATAACAAAAGGTAAAAGAGCAAGCACTAATATAGGTTTTTGTTGCCACATTAATGACCAGTGAGTAAACACAGATTGCCACCCCTAAGACCAGTCATACTCTATGGGACAGAATGTTGGGCAGCTAGAAAGCAACAAAAGTGGGTGGCGGAAATGCGAATGTTAAGATAGATGCGCAGACAGACAAGACAATAGAATTAGAAATGTGCACATTTGTGAGATGGTTGAAGTAGCACCAATTGGAAATAAAACGAGAAAGAAAAGATTGGTTAGGATGTCACATTAAGGGTAACGCTAGGGGGAGGGGAAGACCAAAGTTAGCGTGGTAGAGTTAGACAGAAAGGAATCGATAACACGTGGTTTTACTGAGGTAATGGCCTTAGATAGAGCGGAATGGAAGAACAGAATTCATTTAGCAAAACGGTTTTGTTTGTTTATGTTGTTGTTGTCTTATCCTAACATAGCTGGTTTTGATACCTTGGGGGGCAAAATGGAAAAAGGAAAAGAAAGGAGGGTTTTGCTAGACAACTACGGCTAACAAAAAAACTTTTGTCAACCAATAAGAGAACAATTCCTGCTGACAATCGAAAAACCCCGAGTGACACGCTGTATCAACTTCCTTGTACTGCGGAAAACAATTAAGGGACACTATGTCAGTCTCCAGTCATGGTAAAAAGTTGGCAAGCTTCTCCCAGTATTGTAGATGAGATCATGAGAATGAGCAAAATAACTTAGTCAAAAATAGTATGCTTGGATTAATGAGCTGAGTTGAGTATCGTTGAAAGGTACAAGAAAGAGCTAATAGGCACGATGATCAGGAAGAAGTTTAATGTAGTATTTCTACAAGTATTTGGGTAAAAAAGGGATGATGGGAAAATTAAAAATACAAGATACAAACACTATTATATCAGAAGAACAGAAAAGGAATAAATGAGAGCATTAAAACAAAATATTGAAAATTACATAGATGAATTAATTCTAAGCATGCTTGTGAGACTTTAAATGATCATGTAAGAAAGAGCATGAAAGGTATGAAATGGTGTGTAAAGAACAAATAATTGGATAGATGAATTATGCTGAAATTAATCTAGACTTTGCAAAAGGCATATGATGATGTGAAAGAGAATACCTGCTTAAAAAGGAATGAGAAACATTTAATAATTGTTCAAAGTAGACAATAGAAGTTACATAGTTTATTTTCCCTAAATAAAAGAGTTGATTAACCAATGTGCAAAGATTATAAGGTCATTCTATAAAATAGCATGACCTTGCAATGTAAGTTTAGAATTTAGGCGGTGTTTGATAAAACTGAAAATTTCATGTACTGAATTTTAAGCGCCGAATGTATTAATTTGAAACCTATTTGGTATTGTCTTAATTTTAAGTGCTGAAGATTGTTTGCCAAATACAAAACCTGGAATCTGAATGTTGTACAGATTACAATTTTGCCCTCAATATCTTCTACTCGTAACCTTTTTATAAACGATACTACATATATAATATAAAAGCATAGATAAAACAATAAATTTCACCCAAAGATTGATGTGATTTACTAACGTAGCTAATTGCAGAGAACTCTAAAGCACGGACGCGTTTGTAAGGGGCAACGTGCCGGTGTCCAACACCCTATAAATGTGTCCTATTTTTTATATTTTAAATAGAAAAGGACACGACGTGGATACGAGAAAGGACACAGCTCAATTTGTTAGATTTTTTTTGTTTACAGAGAGAAGAAGATGATACAAGTATCTATATAGATGTGCATATATTCATTCTCTATATATATAACACACAAAGGGAAAAATTCATGGAAAAGACTCAGGATACAAATCAGGGTATAAAGTGATGCAACTTAATTTACAGATATGTTCTCCTTGGCGTGTTTTCTATGTCGCTGATCTGAAATTTTCGGGCTTGAAATTTCCAGTGAGAGGGAGATCAGATAGACAAGAGGAGAGTGAGAAGAATGGTCAAGAGCATAGTTGTAAAAGGCGTGCCCCAGGTGCGCCTGGGGTGAGGGCCGCATCAAGGCGCATGCTTTGCGCCTGGGATAGGCCCAGGCGAGTTTGTTGCAAAGCGCTAAGCGCAACAGAGTCACACTTGATTGAAGGCATTTATATTTTTGTTTCCTTCGTACTGCTGATTTGTTGTTTGTGTTATATTTAATTACTAGTTACCATACAGTAAAAATTGGCTGTTTGCGTGTTATATTTTACTAGTTACTCCCTCTGTCCCACAAAAAAATGTCCCATTTTGGGAATCTAACTTTTTAAGTGTAGGTTTTATTTATTTATTTATTTATTTATTATTATTATTATTATTGTAGCGGTAGGGAATGAATCTCTTTTGAGAGGTAATTTAGAGATGTGGGAGGAATATGCCACAATAATACCATATTGAATATTCATTTTAAGAGGTGGGACAATAGAAATATGTAAACATGAAAATTTAGAAAGGAGTACAACTCTACAACTTAAAAAGTTCATGTTAAAGGGGAAAGAAATGGACAAACCTCAGCCTCCTGCGATTCACTTGGATGAGTATCAGTATGAGGTTCAGTTTTTGGAATCTGCATATAAGGTTATCATGCCAAAAATCAGACGAAGGATCACAATATTAGTGACACAGACAAAAGCCAACTGGTTTAGTTACAGTAATGATTGTCTTACTTTAGATGGTAAGGTCCTCTGTTTTTTCCTTGACAATTTAGCTATTGACCGATGAGGCTCCTGCTGTACTTCAGGAATATCATTAACTGAAACCTTTCCAAGTTTAGATGTTTTAAGGGTAGAGTCTACAAATCCGTGCATTAATTGATTCCCTTTCCCTTTAACCCTTGAGGATTTGAGTCTGTCCTTTTGATGATATGCAGGCATAGCTTTCAGTAACCCAGACTTGTCAACAAGATCAATATCTTCTTCTTTTACCTGCACTGATGATTCTGATGCACAAAAAAGAAGAAGAGAGGGTGCAAATCTTAAAAACAAACGAAAATATTAATGGAGAAATGAGACAATTGCATAGAACAAAAAAAAAAAACTTCATTTAAAAATAAATAAAATAGAAGTTAGAAAATGCCCAGTGCCCACTTTGATCAACAGTCCAGTATTCACTAATTACCGTGGACAGCCCATGACAAAAATTAACACAAAGATGAAGTAAAACATATAGAGATTGTTGTAAGAAATATTCTAAAAGCACAGACTGGAGCAAAAGAAAAAATAATAATTGTATCACATCATATACAAAGAAGTTTGGCCTGTTTATCACTCATGTTCAACTATTCAATGAGAGAATGATATAATTATTTTAGGAAAGTATTGTCTATAAGAAAATCAAAATTTATATATAATGGTGTTCAAGATGATGGATGTCAACATGCCAAGCATATCACATCATGAATTAGGCAAAATGATACAAACAGATACAGACCATTACTATTATTGTTACCATCAATGAAGCGTGCTAAGAGGGGTGTCCTCAGCCCAAGCTTTTGCCACAAAATCTTTGTGGTTATGCACTCGCATTTAATGATTAGACTCTCTTAAGGCAAAAAAATCATGCTACACCACAACTTGTGGACATGAGAAAATTAACCAGTTGGAAGACAAAACACCAAGAAAGTACAGAGAGAGAGAGAGAGGTTTTGAGTATGAGATGACCACTCGTCTCTACACCCTCATATTCCATCATCATCCTAGCCTTAATCACATATGAATAGGGTCAGCCACGTGAATTCTCTCTCTCCAAGCTATTCTATTACATGCCATTTTACCTACCATATTTATTTTTTTAAAATCATTTTTAATAACTTCATCCCATGTTACCCTCTCCGTCTCTTACCTGCTATTACAACTAGTCTTCCTCGTTTGACCGGCGCGTCTCTAGGTCTCTGACGTTCGTGTCCAAACCATCTAAGTCTACTCTCTCAGATTTTCTCACCAATGGGTGCTACCGCTATTACACCCTCATATTTATATTACTAAATAATAATGGTGATTATAGAATTTTCCTGTACTAATGCTCGGATCAAGTTGGTGCATAGACATATCTCATGCCCAAATTGCATACAGTAGAATGAAATTCTCGAATACTCAACTGCTAAGACCCCTGGTAAACACATCAGCTAAACGTTCTTCTGACTTCACAAAGGGCATACAAACAATCCTACATTTAACTTTTCTAAATGTGGTGTCTATCAGTCTAAATGTGTTTAGTTTTGCTGTGTTGAACTGGAGTATGAGCAGTACGAAAAGGTACTTATTCTCACAATACAACCTTATAGGTTCATCGTCATTCATTCCCAAATTGCTCATAAGGGTCTGAACCCACATAAGATAAAAAAAAAAAAAAAAAACTCAACGTGCCCATATACTCCTCTTTAGCACTAAATTGGCAAATAACAATGACCATGACCAAAATGTTTAATTTATTTTCCAGAGAAGAATAATATGCAAGTGATAAGATTTTAAGAAAGCCTGAGAACATAATTCACCGTATATCAGGAGAGGAACAGTATTTGAGTTTTAATCAAGACTAAAAATTATGGAGACAATAGGGAGCATAAAATAGTGAACAACAATCTAGGGCACTGCATGAAATATACTACAGCCCATATAAGAAGGCAAAGCCATATGATGGGAACTGCAATAGGGAATGTAATCATAAAATAAAATACAATAATAATTTGAAAAGTTAAAATGATAGATTAATGACAAGTACAAACCTCATCTCACTTATTATCATCCTTTATCATCTCAAAGAGAAAAAAAGAAAAGAAAAGAAAAAAAAACAGAGGGGAAGACAAAACATGTGTATCTCACCATTTTCAGTTGTCGTTGTTGGCATCATCAAGGACAAATCAGCCAAAGTTTGCAGGGCATCAAAGGCAGAGCTTTCATCTACACAAAAAAGAAATTCAAAGTCAAGAGATTGAATACTTACAGTTCACATGCCGACTCAATCTCTAAAAATATGGCAAGTGCCATGTATGGGTTTATAAATACAAGTTCACTTATTAAAGTGGTTGTACTATAGACGACACCATCTTCTTGATGGGTAGGTGAAGAAACCATGTTATGGGGCCAGTTTGGATGGAAAATTCTCACTAAAATCTGAGATAAGTATCCCTCAAAGCAATTACTTCCGGTTCACATAATGATAAGATAATACAAAAGTACTCAAAATGGTATGGGACAAAATATCCCCAGACATGATTAATTTTGTTTCTACTCACTAACTATGATTATTTATAAAAACCAGAAATTATAAATTTTAGACAAGTCAATTTCAGTGAAATGATAACCAATAATAGAATCCTTCTCTGGGAGCTAAAATACCTAGCCACTGATAAATGCCTTTGACCAAGATTTCCAGAAGTTGTGTAGTATTATTCATTTTTTTATAAAATCATATAGGATAATTCAACATCCCATAAACAGTTGTGATATAAAGAATGAAAGAAGAATAAGCATCACTTTACAAGTGTTCAACTGTTGGGTCAAATAAATGATTATAATTAGCCAACAACTTCCATGTAGAAGATTAGATATGCAAATATAAACAAGGTTCCTCTCTCCAAACAACTTGGATTTGTGTTCATAATTTTAAGGGTTCACATTTACAGACAACTACCAAAATGACCCTTCATTCTCTGGCCTCACAGCAGTTATGTGACTGTGCAGGGCCCTGTCATGGCAAAGAAAATCATTATCAAAAAATTGTGATCTAATAAATTAAGTTTAATATACCCTTTACAACGATCAAGCTCCCCGCCAAAACAAACAATGCTGCAGCAAGTCAACAACATATTCACACCAATGAGACAACAACTGACATAGCATCAACCTTTAACAATGGGAAAACACTCCTTCGTCACGTCATACACCACTTATAAAAACCTAATTACACATACCAAAAAAACCAAGTGAACCTTATTTCATCAATACCCAAAAGATCTCCTCTGCAACACCCACTAAAACATAAGAGTGGTTGCTAAATCCCTGATACATCCTCTTCAAACAATGATTGCTTCCAATGGCCACAATAATATAACCAAAACCAAAATAGAACTTTGAGCTTGTCTGAATCAATTCAGTGACATCAAAAACTACATCTAATGATACTTGTAGTCTCAAATATATTGGATTTTGTAGGGAAAAAAATTTCCACAGCAACTCCAGCTCTGATCAAGCAGGTGAGATCTCTCATTAACTCAATCTTACAGGGATAAAACTTCCATGCCAAGTAAACAAAGACAAACACACTAAATATTATTTTATTTTTGAAAGGTTATTTTATTTTTTATCATAACAGAACAATGAAAAAGTAAAACTTGAAAAAAAAATCTCAAGCAAAATGGAAAAGAATAAGAAAGAAAGAAACATGTTTTCTAAAATAAAGATGCTTCTCCCAAGGAAGGTCAAACCAACTTCCATTGAATAAATAAGACACATGAATATTACTTTCACTGTCCATTAAAGAACTGATAAAGCAGCCAAAATAAACAATTATAATCCTGTCTGAAGAAAAAAGTTGAGCTTGCAGAGGTATTACCACAAAAAATAAAACAAATGAAAAGCCTATTCACATAAAAACTAAAAATAAAAAACATAAAAATATCAACAACAATCATCTTTAGAATTTGGAACAAAATGATTAACATACCTCTTCGGAAAAGAACCTTCTTGCTTCTCTTCCTTGGTACCTGAGAGGAGTAGCGTTCAGCTTTTCCATCTGCAGCCTTCATTTCAAGCTTTCCTCTGAAAGCATCAAATTTTTGTCCTTCTTCTGTCCCACTGCAGGCTTCCTTAATGTCATCCAAATTATTGTTTCCAATGTCATCAACTTCTAACTTCTTTCCATGAGGTCTTCTCAACTTGTAACCTCTCAACTTACGGACACCTGTTTCCATCAAACTTCTATCCCTTGAAAAATCTTCATTATCAGCTTCCATGCTTCCTAAGCTTCCTTCGAAACCATCTTCATCCATTTCACTACCAAGCTTGGCACTGGTCAATTCTAATTCAGCATGCTATATCCAGAAACAGTATATAATTAATTAAAACATATCTTAAAGGATATAGTAGAGAAACCCACAAAATCCATCAGTTAAAGTGCGAATGAGTACCATCCTTTCACCGTTCCGTATGGGTGACGACATAACGCTCTCTGTTCTTCTGTTTGGTGTCTGAGAAACTTGGGGAGAACCACCCCTTTGTGAAGCCTCTGCCAATGCTAATGCTACCTCGTGAGCGACATCGTCATCATTAGCATCCACCTTTAATTTCAGACCCAGCCTAGTTGGAGAAAAAAACTTTTCCCCATTACCTTTCTCATAAGTATACGAAACAGGAAATCGTGGTGTCCTTTTCCCAACAGCACGAGGCCGGCTTCCTAAAGTAAATTACAAAGCAACATCATCATAATTAAGCCTCCATACCACTAAACAGTAACAAATAAAAGAAATGACTTGCTCTTCCATATAAAACTAAAAAGAAGTCGGATGGAAAAAGGGTTCATAATTAAAAATCCACCTGCTTCGCATGGTTCCACTTTCAGCGAAGTATTAAATCATTTATTGCTAATCTGTATTCTAATGTATAAAATGTAGGCAGAACAACAAAAATCTAGCCCCCACTTTAAAATCAAAATAAAAGCAATCAACCCAAGACTCCTCCCAACTGCCCCATAGGCCAATAAAGGTGTAACAACAAACATAGCGAACCCAAGAAACACAACAGAAAATAAACACGCCACACACAAAGAACACAAAGATTTAGCGTGGTTCGGCAAAGCCTACGCCCATAGTGAACATCTAGCGAAATTATTCACAATGTGAAAATCTGGAGATTACAAGTTTCAGCCCCCAAACCTTAGCCCTCGCTCTCACTCTCTTTTCTGCGATTTTCAGTGTCTCTCAATAATCCCACTCCAAACCCAAGTGCCCTTATATATCGGCCTACAAGAGAGTACTAAATAAGGACCACAACCCACAAGCAAAAAAAACGGGTCAAAAAATTTCCCCCTGCACCAAATTCGGGCCACAACATCACAAATGGTTCACGCACAAGAGAGAGAGAGAGAGAGCATAATATCATACCACCAGAGCGCTTCTTCTTCAACAACGATAAGCAACCAGAAGTTGATGCAACTGTATGTGAATGAGGAAAAAACTGCTCATCGGAACCTTTAGATGTATTAGGCCGAAATTTACCCCGACTACGCTTTTGAGGTTTACGAGACGTCCCTGTTCCATCAGTGCTTTCTTGTTCACTGTTGCTTCCTTCCTGCCAGGCCAAAATCCAATACTTTATTTCAGCATTAACATATAGCACTGTTCAGACTTTAGATTCATTACATTAATAGAAAAATAATAATAATATCAGTGATCATGATCATATTAAACTGATTTATTCATTGAAGGAAACATATTTTCACAAACAAGCAAGCAATAAAATGTTGATAAAACAGACATCCAAGACATCCATATCATTTAGGGAAATTTGCAAAAAGATATAAAAGGTCATAAAATATCATAGATGATATAGACAAAAGAGATGAATAAAATTACATTTACCTCACCTTTAGCTTGTCAAAATTACAGCAACCTACCCCGTGTTTCTAAAAATTACACTGGCCTCCCTTGAGTATGAGATTTGGTAACAAATTCCCCCTTCCGTTAAAGATGGGCATTAGTCAACGGCAGTGTTCACTTATCATTTACCAAGAAGAATTTATTACCTTCATTCAGTGATGTCAAATGACTTTTCTACCTTCATCTTGTTCTATTATTTTTTACTGAATGACTATCATGTCCGCTCATTAACTTCTAATTTTCCCTTTCATGCTACTCTTTCTCCCCAAAACTCTTGACCTCTCCCTAAAACTCTCTCTCACTCAAGCTTGAACCCTCAAAAACTCTCTCTAGTAAGGAAATCCCGACCTGACACACGCCTCTCTCTCTCTACTTTCACCAACTTCAACGCTATCCTAATAATCCTAATTCGAAAATTCGACACCCATTGTTGGCATCATCCATGGCTCCAGCGTCTTTCTCTCTCCTCAATTTCTGAAATATTTTTTAAATGTGCCCTCTTCAATCTGACAATCTCCCTTCAATGGAAAGGTTCCTAATTTCAATTCCTTCCTCACTATATATGTGTAGTTCACACAGAGCAAAATGTGTGAAAATGAGTTGATCAACAAACTTTTAGGTCTTGTATAAAATAAAAGAAACACAATCATGATCAACCTTAAAACAGTTCTCTGTTACAAAATAAAACACCCGCCCATGTTAAAACTGTGTTAAAATTTTATTTATGCTGTTCAACCATCTATATGACTCATGTATGTAAATTATTTGGTGAAAGGCTGGAAGGAGAACCATTTTTTGACAACTCAAAATCAGGAAAAAAAAATGCAAAAGCAGTACAACCTTCTCCCTCCAAGCAGGAAAAAAGTGTGAACAAAAACACAAATAAGAAAGCATATGGACAACACACTCTTTAGTAGAGCCATCCCTCTAAGTAAGATGTGCTTTATGGGCAACTAAGGTTCAAAAAACGACGCCTGTCCAGATGGAAGTAACAATGATCTTAAGCCACAACCAAGAATATTGTGTTTCAACATGTCAAACATAGAAACCTCCAAAATCCAAACACAGACACACTGTCTAGTGGTGTATTCGTGAGTTTGTTCGTCTGGACATATATTTATTTATGTTTACAAATATATATGCATCCAAAGGAACATAGAAGATAAAACAAAGATGAAGACAATATCCCCAGTATAAATTCCTGAAAAAATGCATAAAACCCATAAATGGCTATCAATTTAGGAGAGGCTCATTTAGAATTTGCTTGAACTAGTGTTAGACAAAGATGAACGCAGGTGTTAGTTTCAACAAGTATCCGGAGTACCACATGTATGCACATCCGTAGGAGACTTGGAGTGTGCCATTTACACTATTGACAGGAAGTAGGGAGAGAGAGAAGAAAGCTTAAAAGTTGATTAGGTAATTTTTTGACCTTTTGTTTCTCACATTTTCATCACAAAAGGTGTTGTTTCAATTACTTATGCAGTATTTATAACAACAACAACAACAAAAGGCTGTCTGTATGGTTTAAAGGGAAAATATTTTCAATAATGCCACACAAGAATACTACAAAACTACCTATATACATGTTCATTCCATTATTTTAAATAAACTTCCAATCTCACCAGATTACAGTAATGATCAGTCATCATTGCAATTAGCCCAACCACTGAAGCAGTTCCTTCTGGAAGAGATAAGTAAGCCTGAAAATTTAGTAATGGTATTAGTTACCAAACGTCAAAAACCAGAACCATGTAAACTAATATTTTTATTATCATGCCATGACACCACGTAATGCAACATCATTCATGGTTCCAACAAAATCAATCCTGTCATGGTATCAGTATGGCCCTACTACAGTTTGAAACAAACGGGGTACAATTTAGTAAGCCAATGCACTGGGGGTACATTATCAGTAACGAGAACAACAAGCAGCAACAATGATGATTTAAAACAAAAAGAAAACGGTGATGAAAGAAAAACTCAAAAACAATAAGTGCAAATTAGAAAATTTAAGAAGCAAAATCCATTACATATTATTAATCCCAAGTTCATTAGATGGAATACTATGCCATAGTTCAAATAATATCCAGATTCTAAATATTTATTCCAATCCTGGAAGTGTTCAAGAACATTAAACACCGTGTACTACTTCATTGTTAGATATTTCTCCATCAATGACTTGATCAGCAAGCTCATGTGAAAATTTAAGTTTAAAGAAAATAATTCTCCAAATAACCTTATATTAGGACCACTAAATCTAAAAAATAAAAATAAAAAACGAAAACCTCATAAATTTACGCGTGGATCAAATAAAAGGCAATATACAATTATCTTTTTTTTTTTTTTTTGAAAGTTAAAGCAATTATGCACACAGCCTACCTCCACCGAGGTTCGAACCCCCGACCTCCCCTTTGGAAAGGAAGGGGTGATACTGCTAGGCCAATTGGTCCTTTGGTATATACAATTATCTTACTCCAAATAAAAACATGGTGGAAAAACGAAAGAATTGTAAAGTAACACTAGGAGAAAGCATAACCACACAACAATGATTACTTTCTTATATTATAAAATCGGACTACTGTTAGAAGATAAAAGAGAAAGCTATCAACAACCGGAAACTAGGTGGTCGAACTTGAAAGAAAGGAGACTAATTTTAATTGAAAATGACCTGATAAAAATGAATTTTAAAATAAGAGACGTGTGATATGTGGAATGAGATAGTTGATTGTGTTAAAATAGTAGCAAAGGATATCCTTGCATAACCTAACGGCAATGTGATCCATTTGAATAAAGTGTTGAAGCGAGGAGCTTTAAATGGGGATTAGCACAAAAAAAGCAAGTCATGAAGCTTGTCATGAAGCTCTTCGTAATTGTGGGAACAAGCAAAACCCTTCAGATGGTACAAATTAGCCAAAAAGAAAGTCAACAAGACACACCATCAGGCAACTAGCCCAATTGGCATGATCTCTTCTCCACGAAGGACAGGTTGAGAGTTGGAAACCTGCTAGGGGCATGTATTGGGCGTGCGCATTTGGTTTAACTTCGGGGGTGGGGAAGTCATTAAGACACTAACATAAAACTAAAAACTTATGACAAAATAATTTATATCATAAGCTTATTACAAGTAATGCAGAAAAAATTAAGAAAAAGCTAGCACAGACAAAGAAGGAAAGCTAAAAAACCCGGATCATATAATGTGCATTCATCATTGAGATTCAGAAAACAGTCAATTTTTTACATAGATTATTTTAGGATTAATTTGTTTCTTAAGAATTTAATTTCTTAATTCCGCATTGTGCCTTTAGAAAATGATGGAATTTAGTCATGCGCGAGGCACATGCTCATTATTTTGTCATTGTGGCCACTATATCATATCATTGACCCATTTATAGTGTTCCGCACCCAATCATGAGATAGAAAATACACTGATAACAATACCCTTCAAAGTAGGTAGAACCTTCCCACCTCTCACCACCCTAAGAGCACCAAAGGCATTAACAGCTTATCACAAAAACAAGTTCACAGAGCTGTCAGACCTAGATATTTGCATGTTGAAACTAGGGTATGAAACAAAAATTATGTATTCAAAGTCTTGTGTTAATCTTAGTTATTTCAAACCAAATCAAAATCCCAAGCTATGGTAGCTATGTGAAAACACAATAACTTGATTTTGACAGAAGAGACTGACCATTCAATTGTAATGCATAATACATTGTACAAATATAGATCTACAAAATTATCATAATATTGGAAATATTCACCACAAAATTCCAAGAAAAAAGTCACAGATAACCTAAAAGCATCCATAATATAATTAAAAAAAATATAAACCATTGGGTGGAATTAGGTTGTGAATTAAGCCAGGTACCAAAAAAAGTACTTACCCTATTCATTGTGTAAAGTGCCTCCACCATGTCCACAGACCGGTTACGTACTATGGCAGCCACCTAAGTATCCATATGAAGCAGAAACCAGAAGATGTTGAAACCATAAAAAAAAAAATAATAATTAACAACAGTAGAACTAATGCATTTCTATTATTGAAATTATGAAATTCAACACAAATTAGGTTAAAGGTACAGTCTCACAATATTATAAGAATATGCATATGGAACTGGTGAGGAAATGGCTCATATTGTTCTTGAAAAGAAAGTAAAAAGTACAAAAAAAATTAAAAATCACTTCTTTACTTAAAACATTAACTGCTGAGAATACTGGGCGATGATGATTGATTAAAACTAACCTTTTTCCAATCTTTCCCATACTTACGATATGCGTCATAGAACCGCTGCAGCTCTTCCTTGGTCCATTGAGACCCTAACATATCAGACAACTTCCTCTTCTGCAAGAATAGGACAATATCATCCATTTAAGGGCACTTGCAAAGCAAAAGTTTTACAATTTGGCTACAGTTAAAACTTCAATGCAGTTAATGTGACAAAATACCTAGAAACCCACCCTGTAGTTCCTAAAATTGCAGAAACATAGAAGAACAGAAGCACAACTGAAATACATGGATAGATGCCAAAAAAATTGACAAGGACATTATAACTCCTAATATTGGATAACACATGCATGGACTGCTCATATAAACTCAACTTTTAACATCAAGATCAGGGAGGAAGTGTCACACCAATGTGAGAGGGACTAATCAAACAAACTTCAAAATTCAGGTATTATTATGAAATCCAATGAGAATTCTTTGGAAGTTCATGTGGAATATCCTTCAAATGATGATTTTTATTTGTCTATTCTTTATGTTGGACTCCAACACTTGTGCCACTACTACCAGTGTCATTGTAATTGTTACATGAGTTGCTCCTACAGCAAACCGCGATTAAGGATAATTTGGAATCCTGAATATCAAAATGTAAAGAGCAGAAAACTAGTCCTGTTTCTTTCTGAATTCAAGTTGAACCCCATTGATCCATGTATTTTAGCCATAATAGAAGCCCTTTTGAGAACAGCAGGACAGCAGTCAGTTTTCCCTCATCATACACATTGCCTTCTCAGTTAGTGAGTAAAAAGAATTAGACGATGACCACAAGACCAGCCTGAACAGTTAAGATGAAAAAGAAAGGCGCAAGAAGTCAATGCATTCTGTAGAAAATGAATAAAAGACGAAATACGATATGAAACCCATGGCAATTCCCCTATTGACATTGTGGTTTTCTGATGCACATCCAAAGACAATATAATATGTGTAGCACAAGCTAGAGATAAGAGTGTCTAATTCATAGTATAGCCAAAATTAAAAGTGTTATGGTGGAAAATCAAATCATCACCCAGGATAGACAGTATGAGATACCACTTATGTAAATCAGAACAAGTTGTTGGAAAGAAGTGTCCATTTATTATGACAATTATAGAGCACAATTATTTTGAAAAAAATGCAAAACCTACCCGCTGCAAGCTTTTCTTAGCATTCTCTCCATCTTTGTTAGGTGAGACCTCATTAACATAAGAAAATCTCTTATTGATGCTTCTAGATTTTCTTGTTGGAGCCATAAATAATTCTTTAGTCACCTAAGATAAAAAAGAAGAAGCAAGAGATAGTTAGAAAATATATTCACAAGGTGAGGAGTAAATCTAATGAAGATACAACGTTCAGAATCAATTAATCAAACAAAAAGATTGTAAGCAAACAAGGTTCACCCATTAATTGTATTCTTACCCTGAATGATGATTAGTTGAGAAAACATAAAAAGTGGAGTGAGCATAAATAATTTGGCTTATAGCACAGTCCTATCCATATACATCAACATTCACTTAACAAGGTCTCCATAAAAAGTAGCTCATTCAATTCAACCTTTGAGAGAATCAGTGCCCACAAATATTGAATTTTCTTTTATTTAAAGTTCTGAGTCCACAATTCAATGTAAAACCTCAAATTTAAATAACTAACCAAAATTTCTCAGCTACAGCTATGAACCCATAACAGGCAAAAACTTAAAAACTAACCCTGAAGCTCCTAACCCAAATATTCAACTCTGCAAAACTATTTTTCAAATCATAAAATTTAAAATAATTGAAAAACAATATCACAAAAAAACAACAGCTGATTTTTATTTTTTTTCCAGTTTTAGGTTTTTTCAATATTAAATTTCCTGATGTCATCTGAACCCAGCAAATACCTTGAAAAACTCTATGAACCCTAAATCGATATATCATAACAAGATCAGCGTATGAATGTAGACAAATAATTGATTAGTCGTTTGCAGCTATATATGTATGAAGTAAAAGCAGCATATTATAATTATTCAAAATCTCTAACTAAACTACTGAAGCTGAATAAAGACCAGTGAAATGGATCAAACGGACTATGATAAGATTTATAGAACAAAAAGAGAAACATCAAACTGAAAAAGATGAATACATATCTAAGCATAAAGAAAGACAATTGAAATAGACGTTGTGGTTGGACAAGTAACGAAACATTTAGAAACCAATTCCTTAATGGAAACCCTAATTCACAACCACCAAAAATATAAGAAAAAGGAAAGATCAACAAAAATAATGTGTTCTTACCGATCACCAAAAGTTTAAATTCATACGAGTGGATTTTGATAGTGACGAAGCAATCGAACATGAAATAGAAGCGAATCGACAATCAATTGACAGAGAAGTATGGAAGATTGGTAGAAAGAGAGCGAGAGAGAGATTCAGGGAGTTGAATTTTGGGGCATAACCGCGAAACTTGAATACAGAACAGGGAACCAAGGTTGTTTCTGATCTTCTTCTTTAGCTTATTTAAATTTTTGAAAAGAAAAAGAAAATATATTGTTCAGAAAAAGAAAAAGAAAAATTCAAAAACCTGAAATAAAAACATTTCTGTCATGCCAAATAAAACGACCACGGCCCAGCCCAATCTTGGACGGAGTATGTGGGCCAAGGCCTGGCCTGACTTTGCAATTTGGAATGGCCAGTAGGCCCGGCCTGGACAGGCTCGAAAATTTAAAAACAGAAAATTTATACTTACTTTTTTAGTTTTGAACTAAAATACATTTTGATTTTTTGGTAATGAACTCTAATTACTGATTGTGCCTGCTAAAAATACTAAATAGTTGATTAGTTAATGACATTCATGTGTTCTAACAGTATTTTCTGAGCTAAAGTAAAAAAAGTTGTGGTTAAGTTTTCACGTGAAAAGTGCATGTGTGAATTATTTGTCATGCGAAAAATAAAAAATATTAGGAGGCTTTGTTCAACTTAAGTGTTACAAAAAATTTCAAAATATACATGTTATCCCATCATTTTTTATTTCTTTTGAGATACTTCTAAATAAAGTCAAAAATATATTCAATTTAGAGATCACAAAAATTTATTGTCCGATCCAGTCGGTTTATGCCTTGTCAAAAAAAAAAAAAACCTTTTAGACAGCCCATGATTTTGATAAATTGTAATAATACTTCATATCTTAGAGTTCCACAAATTTTCAAAGATTCGTGAAGGGATTTGTAAATCTAAATTTTTACATTCGTCCTTTTATGCACAACTTCTCCTCTTCTTTAATAATACATAGATGGATTTATGAAGAAAATATATTCGAGAAAATGTTATAACGTGTATGTTATGTTCTGATGACATAATTTTAGTGGATACTTCTAAGGAAGTTTTTGTAATAAAATCCAGAGAAAGATATTAGAGGCAAGAAACTTAAAATTTAGTAAAAATAAAAATATATATATACAATACAATTTTGATAATCTAGTAAACAATGACAATATAAACACTACAAATCAAGTCAAAATAAATAAATAAATAAATATATCTCAAATTAAATATTTTCTTTACTTGGATCAATATTACAAAAAATTATATATATATACATATACGATAATGCCTAATGGAGGCAGGATTGAGGTAGGGTGCACAAAATAGAGACAACTAATTGTATACATTGTTTTGTGACAAATGGTATCAAATAAATGAAAACAAAAATTTTATAAAATCGTTATTAGAACAATAATATTATTATATGGAATCAAGTGTTGAACGTTGTATAAGATATGTACAACATATTCATGAATCAGAAATGAAAATGCTAAAATATAAATATAGGAGTGACTAGAAGATACAAGGTTGATAATGAATGTGTGAGATGCGGAAGAACAATATACATTTGCAGAGGATTTTAGCCTAAGTTGCAAAAGAATCCCCATTGTTTGAGTCCTAGTGGGAGTATGTATCAAAGTCTGAGGCCCCAAAAGTCGGCCTGGAGATGAAGTTCCGATTATGGATTTTAAGCATTTCTTTGGTAGTGGTGGCATCGGAGACAATGACGGTGGTTGATGAGACGATGGAGAGACGAATAAGTGGTCCTTCGCGCGAAGCTAGGGTTTGGAAGGACTTGGGTAAGACAGAACTTAGTAAATGAAGGTGGCCGATAACGAGTAATGCTTCAGGGCTAGGAGGAAGGAGGAGGGTGTTGCAAAACCTCTTTCAGCTGTGATGTATAATCAGAGCTTCTTCTTAGTGTTTTTTTTTTCTTAGAGACTCAGAAGATCAGTGCGTCGTTGAACAATACTTTATGTTTTAAATGACAATAGTTAATTATATGTCTCCCTGTAGATTATGGTCTCCTTTCCCCGTGGAGGTCCCTACTCCTTTCATTGTAGCGGTCACTCTGTTCATCAGAGTATGAGTTTTTCCAAGAGGTTGTGTTACGCTAGGATGATTTACCCAAAATCTCAAGTTAGTCATCTCCGGGGGTGGTTGGCTAGGATGGGTTCATGTTTTCGGCGGGGTGTTGGTTCGAGTGTTTTGACCGGTGGCCAACAGACTGGCCAATATACGCCGATCTTCCATTTTAATCCAGTTATTATGATGGTCTTCCTTGTTTCCGTTTTCATTCTAACTTTATATATGTGTTGTTTTGTTTTCTCTCTAGTCGCGGTGTTATCTTGGGTTTCAATGGATCAATCAGTGGTAAGAGTGGTGGTTCCACTAGTATCCCCTATGGAGCCTGGTTGGGTGTTGCTACTTTTATTTATCCGGTGGGTTCGTGCTTGTTGCCGGACGTTCGTTTTCTCATTGTGTTTCGTGTATCTGATTTGGGTCTCGGTGTGGCCCTCACATACTATCGCGTCGTCATGTTGTTTGATGGTGTATCTATCATTAAATTTGGGAATAAATTTAGGGCTTTAGCAAGTCACACGGGACTCTGTTGCATGTCTTTCAGGTGCGAACCAAACTTTTGCTCTGGTCAGCGATACGTATAATCTGACCGCCATCAATTATGGGTCATGGCTTGGTATTGTCGAAACGCTTTGTTACGCTAGTCACAGATGGGTTTCTGGTGTAGCTATAAGTCTCACTGGTGGTAGATCATCGATGGTATCTTAATTCACACATTTTACTGACTTGTGTCGGCAACAGATTGAGGCTGGCGTGCATTCGTTGCAAGGTTTTTTTGTGGTTAGCCAGTATCACAAATGGTTTGATGTTGATGAAAATGATATCAATGATGATGGTTTACCGCAAAATTGGCCAAACTATTTGATTCCAACTCCGGAGACCATTCGACGTCCTCGAGATTTACGTTGTACTGTTTTGTGTCAACAGAGGGCATCAAAGTCAAATATTGGGTTAGGAGTTTGTGGCGTTGCCATCACGAAACGAAGTTATCACAAGCTTCTGGAACATGCTATTTTCTTTGAATGATTAATGATGTAGTATGGGAATGATTATATTAGGCCCCATGGTTTATTAATGCCTCCCATTCAAAATGACAGGGGTCTTATCTTTACAGCTGGGGTTCTCCCAAGGATAGCCCATTTTCTTCTTGCTAGCCCTATAAATGCTACTTATTTTACTAATAGGTCTAAACCAAGAAAGGTCCATGCCTTGTGTCAAATGGTGGGCCATGTGCACATGTGGCTTCAAGATCTGTTTCTGGCCTCAATCATCATTAGTCTTTTTGGTGTTGGAACCCACATGGAGATTGTAACGCACTTTTTGTATTATGTGGTCAAGGTTGTGAGGTGTCTTCCATACGCTTCCTTTTGTATCAGTTGGTGGTGGTTGCGTTGCTCTTTTCTGTAAGTGTCGTTTGGCTTTGCTAGGGAAAAAAAAATAGACACCATGAATAATTGCTTTGGGAAGTGGGGATGGAAATTTGGAAAAAGTAACAGAAATCTTTTCATATTTATCTACTCAATTATTACGAAGGTCATGATACTCAGGCAGAAACATCTGACCGATTTGCTAGACAGGAACGATGTGGCAATCCAGCCGTCAAATATTAATCATATTTGGCTCGGTGCATTGACATTATCACACACGCCTATCACAACTCGTAAACATCACACCAGCACCGGCCACAACGCGCAAATATTAGGCCAGTGCTGATCACAACCCGAAATATCAGACCAAAAACCAAAACAAAAGGTGAAACTTTCCGCAACTGTGGCACACCGGCGGGTCACAATAAGGCACGATGACGGCAAACAAAACACCCGACACCAATTTCAAACAATTTGGATACAAACCCCCCTCTTTTGAGAATACAGTAAATCTAACACTGAATAAAGGGTCGAATCCTACAAGTTGTGCGAAGTTTGCAACTTCTAGCTAAAAGGACAAAGAATCGATGACGCCTCGCATATGCAAACAACGATGGAAAAATCAGATCAGTTTCTTACTGTGACGACACAACTCGCGACAGCCACCGGCGACAACGCACAACAATAACAATATGAAATTTCACTATCGAATAAAAAAAAATCGATGCTGAAGAAGCCAACACACTGTAACTCCACCCGTCAGCGTCGATCTCACGTGCTCCGACCATTGCAAAATTAATAGATCATCCAAGAGTATTGTAAGTAATAAAGTGACCTCTGTTTCAATTCATTATATATATATATATATATATATATATATATATATATATATATATAATACCTTGCAGATGTCACAAAAAAGGAATTGTTTAGGGGAAGGGCGGAAGAGGGGAAGCTTTGGTGTTTGCCGGCGAGCTTTTTGGCATGGTGGACACGGTGGTCGCAGGTGTCACAAAGGGTGGCTTCGTTGGCGGAGCAGAAAAAAGAGGCTTCATCTTTGTTACACACGTCACACTAGATCTTCATTTGGCCGGTACAGTTGTTTGATATAGATTAATTGTATGTTATGTAAACAGCAAAATGGGTTTAGGAGGTGAGAGAAAGGGGAGTTAGAGAGAAAGAGGAGAGACAGGAAGATGAATGGATTGCACGCATTTTTTTTTTTTTTTGGCCAATTAGACGTCACCTAGGATTCTGCCAAACAAATAGGTCAAATCCATCGACGTAAATATCATTTCTCTTATTATTATTGTCTTCTTATTCATGCAAATTTATTTACTTTTAACATCCAACATTTACTATTTGGTTATGATCTATTTTGTCTCGTTAAATAAAAATTTTACTTTTAACATGACTACTTTTAAATTAAAATATTTAACATTTAATGGAGAAATCACTACAGACTAAAGGTCGTGTGTGACTTAGTGATACTTACTTCTCAAAAAAAATATAGAAAGAGAAATTATATAGAGATTGAATGAGCCGTAAAGAGAGAGAATAAATAAGAAAAAATATTGAAGGAGAAATTATAAAGAGAGAGAGAGTAGTGAGAGAGGATAAAGTATTGAATACCCTGGGACACTGGCAGCCCTAGCTTGGATCATAGATGTGGTGGTAGGGCCCACCACATCCAAGGGATGGGATGACCTCGGGGTACCATATCCTTGGTGTATGCAATACTTTCTCGTGAGAGAAAGAGAGTGAAAATAAGCTAAATATAAAAGGGAAATAATAGAAATAGGGTATTATATATAGGAATGAGGGAGAAATGAGAGGGGCAGTTTGGGAACACAAAAGGGTAAAGTTGATACTAAAGTGAATTTTTAAGTCACATGACCCGCAAATACCAATTTTTTCATGTCGGAAGCCATTCTTTATACACTTTACAAGGGAAGAATTTAAATATGAGGAGTGTTATTTGTAATAAAGTAAAATTATACTCTGATTTTTTTTACATTTCACCCCATTTAAATACCCATTAGTAAAACCTCAATCCAATGCCCAAGCCATAGTTAATTATTATTTTCTTTGTCTGGATTCATCCATTAACCAAAAAGCAAAGTTGCTATCAGTCGAGTTATTTGATTTCCTATGTTAAATTTTGATATATATATATATATATATATATATATTTGAAGCAAATTTATATACAAAATGGAAACTATACAAGAAAAGGGCCTTTGGCCCAAAACATGCTCAACAATGAAATAAGGGCAAACCAAACCAACAAAACCATCAAAGATGCACTCACTAAAGGCCCATCCCAAAAGCAAAGCAAATATTCAAAATGGGCTGTTGTTATCAATGAACCGAAATGTGACTCATATTATAATATTTACAATTATTTTCTTTCGAATTGAATTTATTTACGTTTGTGACATGAGAATTTGTCTTTGATGAATTCAGTTCTTGCGTGATATCGAATATAATTATTATCTTATTATTTGCCAATGTAGACATTGCATTTTGAAGGAAATATAAGTGTATCCTCATTTATCATCATCAATCGCAACTCAACAGCAATAAGGTCTCAAGCTCAGTGAGCTATCAGACCTAGTGATAAGTTTGCCCATTGAACATACTATCGTGTCAAAATTGTGTCAAATGCGAATTTAATATGATCATTAATAAATATTAATATGATCATTAGTTAGTTTCAGATTTAATTACTCTAAAGTACAATAAGTTAAATTTATAGTAATTTTTTAATTAATTAGTAATAAATTCTTAGAAAATTCATACTCCAAAATTGTTGTGGCATACAATAAATTAAGATTTAAGTAAAGTAAGTTAAAAGAAATAGGTTATCATAATTTCAATATCATATATAATGTATTTAAAGAATATATATATATAAATAATATTAAAATTTAAATTTTGGTTGGACTTGGATTACTAGCACCTAGAGGTGGCAATTCGTGCTCATGGGTCGTGTTCGTGTCGTGTCGATATAAGGGTATTATATTAAATAGGTAAACTCAAACCCAACTTCTTTAATAATTGTGTCAAGAATTTTCAACACTAACCCAACCCGTTTATTAAATAACTAAATGTGTTAACCCGTTTAATGACCTGTTTATCAAAACAAGACATTTAATATTTAATCAAATAGTAAATAATAGAAAAAATTGTCATAATTAACCCAAATATTCATAATAAAAATAAAAATTATAAGGCATAGACAAGGTTTATGTTGAAATGACTTAACTATCCATAGAAATTAGGTTTAAACAGATAACATATTACATATGTCATAGTCACGATTATAACATGTTGAGTTAAATAGGTCATAAACGAGTTACACGGGTTGAACCCCTTAACCCTAACCCGACACGGTTAAGTAAACGGGTTAATCGTGTCGACTCTTTTATGACCCAAACCCGTTTATGCCAAATCCAAACTCTTTTAACTCGTGTCGTGTTCGTGTTGTAATTTGCCACCCCTACTAGCACCCCAACTCAAGCGTTATTCTAATTAAGATCGGATTACCTAAGCCCGTGAAAAAATTAGGCTGGGCTGCCTAAGTGTATATTATAACCAAAAAGAAAAAAGATTCAATAAAGCTAAGAACACAGGCTCAACTAAAAGTGAAGAGAAGAAGAAAAGCCTTAACAACTCAAGTTAACTGATAGACACTACTCTTTTCGTCGAGAAATTATTAAATGATTTTGGACCATTAATACTTGGTGGATTAATTTAATCTATATTTTTGAATTGAAAAAATGACTCAACAAGAGTATGTTAATATATTTTCAGTGGTCTTATGACCTTAGTGGTATCACCTCTATCTCCCAAAATAGATGATAAATGTTCTAGTCTCCATAATGACGAAACGAGTGTACGTCTCTTTTGCAATGAAAGAGAGTGTATTGATGAATTACAAAAGAAAACTCAGTACGGAGTATTAGTTTTCATTAAATTAAATTCTCAAATGTCAAATGTTTAAGAACCATGTAATAATTTATCTTTTTTATCTCAAAATTTGTGTCCATTCTAAAATTTCAACTTTTAAATGGGATATGTATTTTATTTAATTTTCTTTTTAAAATTTCAAAACTACCCATTCATTGCCTTTTTCAAATATGACATGAATTTTAACCCAATAAAAAATGAAAAGAGGGACAAATTTTAAAATAGACGGAAAGAAAATAAAGAAAAAGAAAATAAAAGGGAGTGTAGTTTTCATAACAAAATCCTACACTAGTATTAATTCAATGCAGACCACAGCGCGTCTCATAATGAAGAGATGGAGATATAAATGAATAAATTTACACTTTTTATATGGTAATTAAATATTATCAAAGCTTTTATTCTCAAGTTCTTATCACTTTCATTCTCAAAATTAAAATTAATTAACATAAGTGGGAGTTCACCAACTAATGATAAAAAATTCCACCACATGTTACGTTAGAGAATATATTATTATTATTATAGATAAACATTTGTTAATTAAACAATTGCATTAACTAAGCCCATAGCCGCAAATAATGAAGAGATTGGAGATATAAATGAATAAATTTACACTCTTCAAATGGTAAGTAATATAATATGAAAGCTTAAAGTCTCAAGTTTATATCGCCATCATTCTCATAATTAAAATTAATTAATAGATTGTGTTAACCAACGAATGATAAAAAAAATTCAGCACATGTTGTTTAGAGAATATATATATATTCTAAACGTAATTAAACAATTGCATTGACTAAGCCCATTCCCGCAAATAATGAAGAGATGGAGATATAAATGAATAAATTTACACTATTTAATTGGTAACTAAGATTATCAAACCTAAAAGTCTTAAGTTAATTAAAATTAATGAATGGAAGCCGTTGTTAATGATAAAAAAAAATTCCACCACATGTTATATCTGGGAAAATTTACATATGTATACTTATAGATAAACATATGTCAATTAAACAATTGCATTAACCAAGTCAATATCTGCAAATAATGAAGAGATGGAGATATAAATGAAAAAATTTACACTCTTATTCCGTTTGTTTGAGTGTAAAATATATTATTTTTGTATTTTAAATAATTTATAATTATTTATCAATTTTCGACAAACTATTTTACACCCATTCATGTTTTATTAATGATAAAAAAAATTCCACTATATGTTAATATGTTATGTTAGAAAATATTATATACAAATATAGCTAGAAATTTTGTTCAGGCCAGATAGAGGGTTGGGAATCCAACCTGCATCGTGTGCAACCAAATGAGACAGCCCACATCAATTTAAATTAATAAATAAAAAAGGAATAAAACAATTGGATAACTTATGTATATTTTCTATCCCTCACGAGCCACGCCTTTCCAAATTCATCAATCAATAGGGGACGAGCACATAGATAGGGACCTAGGGTTAATTCTCTTCCTTTACCTTGATTGAATTATATAATTTATGTTATATATAACATCTGTTTTAATATATAAAATATATTTTTTCAGTAAATAAATAAATCAACCAGAATAAATATATATATATATATATATATATATATATATATTCAGAAATTAATCAACCAGAATATATTTACTGGTCGTAGTAGAAACATATTGAGAAGCACTGTTCATTTGCCGCTAGCAAAGACATTACATCACTTGCACTCTCGAATCTTGATTTACCAACATACATATTCAATGGTCCATGGTCTATGTATAAACAGTTCGTACAAGAAAACGGATATCAACCTAAATCATCATAAAAGTGATCAAATAGGATCAGAATTTCAACTTGGTAGTACTTCCATCAATTGGTTTTTGTGGCTTTGAAAGACGTGAGACCATGAAGAACGAAGTGATATAACCGCTAAAGGGAAATTGTCGAGATCCGATATTTGAAATCGTGAGAAGAAGCAGAAAAGTAAGCCCACAACCCTTCCTTGCCTATTGAGTCATAAGGATGTGATTTTGCAAAAGTTATGGTGGTCTATTGATCGATGATGATACTCCATGGAAGAAGAACAATAGAGAAAAGATGGTGTTAAATTTGGGACAGGTGAAAAAGAAAAAAATTATATAGGTTTAATCTTCTATTACTCGGTTAAAACGGGCCGATCCAACTTTATTCTTCTCTATCTTTTTATTCATTTTCTAATTTACTAACGTGTTCGTTTATTATTGAAAATCATAGAATAGATTAAAAAAAAAAAATTTGAGAGTGCTGTCCAAATGAGATAAAAGACTATAATAATATATGAAAAAAATAAATAGCACGACAAAAACAAAGAGAACTTATTATTGATCAAGCTAAACAGCTGTAACATCCTCACACATCAGTACTCAAATAAAAAAAATAAAAAAAAAAATCTAAATTAATTAAGCTGAGAAATTATTTAGTGATACATAAAAACCCCAACATTAAACAAGGAAGAACACTAATTTGTTAACCAGATACCGTTGTGAGTTTCAATGGATTAACATGTGTAATAGGGTAACACAGTAGTGGGTGAGCCATGCCAGAAGAAAGTCCCGGCCCTTCAATCAAATCAAGCTTTTCCCCACCTTTGACTTTAAAGTCAAAGCACTGGACCAACGCTCCGATGGCAGCGTGCATCACCACCGATGCAAGTGACGCACCAGGGCATCCTCTCCTTCCACTACCAAATGGAAGAAAACTGTATTCACGGCCACCCATGAAACCCACCATCTGTTGCTGATCACCATCGTCCATTGAGCTGGCCAAAAATCTATCCGGTACAAACGCATGAGCATCATTACCCCATGCTTCTGGGTCCCGCATGATCGCATACACATTGAATATGATCCTTTCATTTGACGTTATATCATAACCGTTGATCTTGCAATCCTCCTTGCATTTCCGGAAAATCAACGGCGCTGGAGCGTGAAGCCTTAGACTTTCTTTGACTACTGCTTGCAAATAAGGAAGATTTGGGACGTCTGATTCTTGGACTAATCTGTTTGACCCCACAACCTCATTGATCTCCTCTCTAACCTTCTTGAACACATCTGGATGGTTGACGATCTCTGCTAGCGTCCACTGCATGGCCACACTAATTGTCTCTGTACCCGCCATGAACATTTCCTGCTCACATTATAAATTAGAAGCAATTAATAAACTAACTCTAAATGACTTTATTGTATTTTCATACTATAATATTTTTCAGTGTGTCACACCTATTCAGGGTTTGACGGGTCAACGGAGTTTAATGTCAGCTATATTTCTAGACTCGGAAGTATTGTATTACGTATTAGTGAGAATAGCTTGCCTACCGTTCTGATAAATAAAAAATAATAATAAAAAAGAATAGCTGGCTTGATAGGTTTTGACTTGGTCGACTTTGGTAGGGTTTTTCACTTCTTTTTCATCACCTCTCCTTTGAAGGAGGAGAAATCAAAACTAACAAATGTTGAGTTGAATTTGTGATTCATTATGTTAAAAAACAGATATAACATTGAAAAGAATCACAATTAAATTGTTTTGGACTCGGGTTGGGCTAATATACCAAGCAGAACATGCATGTATATGTTCAACTACCATAAAACACTCATGAACACATACAAATACCAAGAGAGAAAAGAGAATAATTTTTTTTTTCTATTGTAAGATTTGAATTCATCACCTCTCCTTTGAAGGAGGAGAAATCAAAACTAACAAATGTTGACTGTGTTAGCAAGGGTTAATAAATTTATTTATTTATTATTATTATTTTTTTTCTATTGTAAGATTTGAATTCATCACCTCTCCTTTGAAGGAGGAGAAATCAAAACTAACAATTATTGAGTTCATCATGTGATTCACTATGCTAAAAAACAGATGTACCTCATTGAAAAGAATCACAATTAACCGGTTTAAAAATCGATTTGGACTCAGGCCGGTTGGACTAGCATACCGGCAGAACATGCATGTACACATCCAAATATGACAAAACATTCATGAACACATGGAAATACAAAGAGAGAAAAGAGAACTCACCATGAGAAATGACTTGATATCATCTCTACTTAGCTTCACCTCAGAATTTTCATCCACATGGATCTCTAAGAGAATGTCCATCATATCCTTGCTCTCTTTTTCACCACCAATTTCTCTCTCCTTCTCATGTTCCATCATGATCCCTTCCACCATCCTATCAAATTTCATCATCAATGATGTAAGCTCCCTCCCATACCCGAACAAATCATACTTTACCAAAGGACCCAACATTTCTCCCAAGCTGAACTTGGGTGCAACGTCTAAAATCCCTTTAACCAAACCCCATATCTCCTTTCCTTCGTCTGCGTTCCGTGAGCACCTCGTGCTCATCGCCATCCGGCATATCACGTTGTTGGTCATAGTCATTATCTCCCTACCTACGTCACAATCCCTTCCATCTTCCGAACACCTAGAAAGTATATTCAATAATTTCACCATCTCTTCCTTTCGAATATCAGTAAAGCGAATGAGTGTTGTACCTGCAAGAAGCTCAGTCATGCATACTTTCTTCATGAAGCGCCAATAAGCGCCATACTCGGCATTCACAAACTTTGAGTCTTTGTATATATCAAAGTCTGAGGCCCCGAAAGCCGGCCTGGACACGAAGTTCATCTCATGGGTTTTAAGGAATTCTTTGGCAGTGGTGGAATTGGAGACAACAATGGCAGTTGATTTGCCAAGGGAGAGGCGCATGAGTGGGCCGTGGCGCAAAGCTAGGGTTTGGAAGGACTTGGGTAAGACAGAACTCAGTAAATGAAGGTGGCCAATGATGGGTAATGCTCTGGGGCTCGGAGGGTACTGAAAAACTCTTTTAGATTTCAAGCTTTTTTTGGCTAGGGATCGAACAAGGAGGGTAGAAGCAAGCCATGTGAAGAAGAGGAAGCAATAAAACTGAACATCTAAGGTGATGGCCATGGCTAGCTTCTAAGCAGTACGTACGTACTACTCTATATAGGATGAGGAGCAATGGCAGATATGACACACATATATGAGCTTAGAAGTGGTACTATATATAGGAGGAGCAATGGAATATATGATACACATAATGTTGTATATTAAACTCAATGCTGGTGTATGGTTTCGTCAGCAATTAATTATATTGTTATTTGATCGTTAAGGTCATATGTCTAAAATCAGAGTCTTGACTTGGAGAATTATACGTATTAAGAATGGGTTAGTTTTTTCTTTTGTTTATTGATAAACTTGAAGCATGCAATGAGATAATTACACTAAGCCATCTAGGCATATAGCATCCAAAAATACAGTAAAATATCTGTGACGCAAAGATCAATATTGGTCCAAATAGGTGAGCTACATAATCAAAGGACTTGTCAATATTTACAGTGACCCTTCATTGGTCACTTTAACAACGTGCTAATAAGTGATGTATAAATTTGGAGTACTGCAATCACTAATAGCAATTGTTTGCGTAATAGGATAAAATTAGGGGAGAAGTGCTTAAAACACTTCTAAAATGTACTAGGTGCAGCAGTTTTATTCCTATTTGAAAAAATATGAAAAGAATATCTTTAATTTTTTCACAATGTGTAAAAATATTTCATTTGATATAAATTAGTGTTGTAATAACTGTTTTGCCCTTTTACTCTTCCGAAAATATCCAAGAGGGTATATATGCTACTAATCTCATAATATAGTAGTATTATGTGTACATTACCATATATATATATATATATATTTGAAACTTTTTTCTCTATATATATCTCTAAACATTTTTTTTTTTTTTTTAACTTTGAGAATTTGTAGAATAAGGATTTAAATTTTTTGAGATTCCAGTTTACTCTTTTCTACTAACATTTTATTTTCTTTATTTTATTTTTTCGTACCAACACTGTTAAAAAAAAAAAAATTCTCGATATCAGTGTGCACTGATTTTCATAGTTTAGAAAAAATTTGTGCAATTTATTTTTGTTTTTATTTTCTATTTTTATCTTTACTTTTCTTTTATACTTTTATTTTTATTTTTATTTTATATTTATATTTTTCTTTTATACTTTTATTTTATATTTTTATCTTTACTTGTCCATTGTCAGCGTCCTCCAATAGTGTCATTTTATAAAATTATTTATTTTTATATATGTTATAAAATGGTTCAGTAAGGGTAATTTAGTCAACTTAGGGTTTAAATTTGTCAGAGGGACTTATTTGCACCAGATTGAAACTTTAGGGGTGTTTTTTTGCATGAGAGGGACATACTCCAATAATGTCATTTTCGGTCATTTTATAAAATTATTTATTTTTATATATTTTATAAAATGGTTCAGTAAGGGTAATTTAGTCAATTTAAGGTTTAAATATGTCAGAGGAACTGGACTTATTTGCACCAAATTAAAACTTTAAGTGTGTTTTTTGCATGTGAGGGGGGTGATATGCATGTAAACATATTTTAATAGTGTTTTCTGCACTTGACCCTAAATTTAGTTATCAAATATATCATTTTCCATAAATTTGTAAAGAACATGTTTTTGCCTCATTTTTTTTTTCTCCCGAAATTACAATGTTTTTTACTTAAACTACAAAAACAGTCCCTTTTTCCCGGTAAATACGAAAACATCCCTTCATACTGCAAATAGTACATATTACCGGCCACTCTAGTTCGGAAGAAAAAGAATGTAGTGCATATTACCACGGTATTTCAAAGAAGAAGAAAAAAGAAAAACCTAATATGAAAACAGTTGGAACTTGAAAAAATACCCTCTAAAGAACAATGTTACGTGGATGAGGAGAGGTTACTTGATTGTCAAATTTAGAAGTTTATAAAATTCTTGTAATTAATTAAAAACCTAAAAATAATAAGGAAAAGTCAGAACATTACATTTACAATTTTGGCGTTACGTACAAGTAACTTTAATAAACACATTTACTAGTTTTAATTAAATGGAGCCTCTCAGACCAAGCATGCCAGGAAATTCTGTACAATATATGATTTTAGAATATGTGTATTTTTACAAATTTTACGAAGAAGAAAAAAAGAGGAAGTATTGAGGATAGTGAAGGTGTGATGTACTGATTTGTGATGTATCGTACACTGGTAAATGGTATGCAATCTTATTAATTATGCAGGTAAGGTATTGCTGTTGAGTGGTGATACTCGAGTCGTGGTCTGACTCGACTAACCTCTCCATCCACGTGTCTATTGACTCAAGACAATTCCACTCTCCCATGTGTCTAAAATATATCATTAAATGGTAGTAGTTGGTATCTGAGTCGCGGGTTCCACATTTCCACTCCACCATGTCTCGTTTGACCCATGCGAATTTCAGTCCATAAAATACTAATTTCCCATTATATATTTATATACACATATATATATATATATATATGTATGTATATGCTGTGAAATGGAATGGGTGGAATTAAAAAAAAATTTGATTCAATTTTTTGAGTAGTTTTTTTTTTTTTTTTTTTTTCAATTCCAAAACTCCAATTTTACAACTGCAAAACATAAATTTGGATTCCCTCTTTGTGAAGTGAATTTTGTCCCTGGAGTTTGTATGATCATTATTTTAATTCCTGACCTCTTTTTGGGAGATAAGAGCCTTATACGACTAGACCACATGCTTGTTGGTAAAACGTTATTATTGTTATGTAACTGATGTATAACTCGTTTGGGGTTGCTATTATAATGGTAAAAACGTCTTTATCAGTGAAGCTGTCATTAAAGTGCTGTGAGTAAAAAACGTGTTAGGCGTTTGGTGATATATTATATAAAACACTTTTTATACTTGAAGCACTTTTAAATTTGTTTGGTAACGTACATTATTGCTTAAAACACTTTTATTACTAATTTCATACAGTAATAAATGTGTGCATTACCTCCAACATAATTTCAAGATAGGGTAGAGAAATTCCAACAAATCAATAATTCGATAAACAATTCGAGAAACACTTTTTATTAAACAGTTAAAGGTGCATTTTTATATAGAGTTTCTAACAAAAATCTTGAAATACTAATGTCAATGAAAAATCTAAGTTAGAATTTTTTAGATAAATGTAATGCATAAAATATTTAGAATCTAGAATATTAAGAGTTATGTGTAGAAAATGTAAAATTTGAAAATAAATATTCAAGGAGATTAGACATCAAACTTGGTAATAGTCCTCACAATATTACAATACTAGTTTCTACTCTTAAGATTTAACAACCAATGTTGAAATAATATATATAAATAATTAGAGTCTAGGTACTATTGTTTACAAAAAAAAATGATGGCGATAAAGTCTCTACTAAATACTTTTATTTACTTAAATTTGTAATTATAAAAATAAAGGAGGAATTATATTATCAAAATAATGCTAGATACCAACCTTTACTCAAAACTCAATAAAAAAAGCTCTCATTTTCAACTTCAGTAGAACGCACTTTTTTTTGTTGCATTTTTTTTGCCATTTTTATTTTATTCAACCGTTACTCCTTAAAAATACTTTTTTTTTTGGATAATTTCACTGACACCCCTTCAAATTTGTCAAATATCACCCTCAAATATCTTTCGAAAATAATTATCACTTATGTCCATTTTCGCTTTTTCTTATGGGAAAAGACATCTTTGTCCCTAATTTGGTCAAACACAGTTTTTGCTGATATCAACAAAAAATTAAATTATATTGCCCAAATTGCCCTCAGTGGTCATGTTTGGCTACCAATATTATATACCACCAGTTTGATTACAAAGACTATATACCACAGTTAGGACACACGTGTCATCAGCCTATGCTGCTGACTTTTTTTTTTTGTTTTGTTTATCTTCTCACTGGATCCACCCACTACGCTCTGTAACCTTGCTCAAACCCAATTTTGGGGCAACTAAAGAGACCCATTTCATTGTCTGAGAGAACATTCATTCAATCCCTGGGTTTAGATTATTTGATCACTCCATTCTTAGATATTTGTAGAGAAGTTTGGATTAATTGATGACAAACCTATTCCATCATGGACCTTTTCAAGACAAATCTAAAAGAAAATAAATAAGAAAAAAAAAAAAAACTTGTTAGAGAGAAAAAGTAGAGAGAGAACATAACGGAGCTCCTCAACAGTAGCAACAGCAAAGGCCGAGTGGTGGCTCTCATCGCTGATAAGCTCCTTACCAACCGCGACCTCATCCGCAGTAAGACATTCATGATCGCCACTCAATACTGCCGACTCGCACTCCTCTTGAACACTAACAGGAACAAGCTCGTCTTCGCCGACGAAGCCTTCTAGCTTGTCTTTGATGCCTGGTTGTTGAACCGACTCTAGGCGGTGAGAAGTGCGTCGACAACGGTGAGGATCCGGTCCGCATATTCGGGGCCTCGCTATATTGGGTGTCCAAATTCAGTGAAGAATTGGGGAAGACTCGCCGGTGACCATTACAGTTCGGTCCACTATAGCGAGACCAACATTTTTACCCAATTAAGATCTTTGTAATATTCCGTTTCCCCGAATTCGGCTGTCATTTCGGTTCCCTTATAAATCAGTTTTTGCAACAGAAAAAGAATAAATAATTATTGGTCTCAAAAACAATGTTTCAAATGGACTCCCAAAATCGCCAAAACATAAATAAAATCTAAGAGAAAAAAAAAAAAAAAAAAAAAAAAAATCCCATGGTGAGCATCTCACTACCGTGTATTTTTTAATGAACAATAAAAATAGGAAATGAATAAAAGAGAAAAGGAAAAACATGAGGGTAAACATGTTACTTGAATACTTAAAGAAATAATATAGTTAGTCAAACTAAAGTCAAATGAAGGTAAATATGTCATTTGAATCATTAAAGAAACAATTTAGTGGGTCAAACCAAAGTCAAAGGATAAAAATATCTTTTTACATGTAAAAAGTGGTCTGACACACCTGTCAATTAACTTTTAGAGTATGATTGAAAAAATGAGCAAACTTTTGTAATATGAGTGATAGTTATTTTCGAAAGATATTTGAGGGTGATATTTGGCCAAACTTGAGGAG